ACCCTCTTTTGTCTCTGTTTCTTAGCTCAAAAATGGGGATAAAAAGGGTTCCTGGAGCAAGTTGCTTCACATTTCTGTGCCTTAGTTTCCTCATTTAAAAACCGGAGATGATTCTGACATTTCCCAGGGCAGCTGGAAAGATGAAACACATAAAGGGATTAGGACTGTGCCTGGCAAGTAGGAAGTGCTGGGCAGGCCTGACGCAGTGTAGACACTGGCAGCATCTTTTTCAGCGGGGTGCAGGGCCTGGAGAGGCAAGCGAGTGAACACAGCCCTCAAGAGCCGCCGCCAAGTGCTGGCTTTCCGCACCGCACCTCACGGGAGTGTCCACACACAGAGGCCCCAAAGGGAATCAGAGGCAGAATTCAGAAACGGAAACCAAGTCTCCAGACAGCAAGACAGCTAACCCCTGGCTTGGCCCCCGGTCCCCGTGGCAGCGCCCTCTGGGGGCTGGATCCCGTTAGCATTCTGGCGCAGCCCCAGCACACCCACCCACCATGGGCTGAGAGAGGCACGTGTGACCGTGTCACCGAGAAGTGGGTAGTGCTTGTGGGGGGTCCTCTGGGATGGCACAGGTGTCTGTGTGAGCTGGGGCCACCCCGGCCCTGGGCCTTGACTGTGGGCCAGTCCCCTCGTCCCCTCTTCCCACCCCTTCACAATAGAAAGCTGATTTTTTCCATGTGGTGTTTGTCTCTCTCTGAGAACGAGAAGGCCTGAGCACAGCCAAGCTTATCTATACAATGGATTTCCTGCTGGGGTTGGAGCTGCCCTGTTCCCCGTTGGGTGATAAATTTATGTCGCCTGAGCGCACAGATCTGCTGACGTTTGTGATGCCGGTGGCCTTGGCAGACCCCAGCGGCCCCGGCCTGGGTGGGAATCTGCAGACATAAGCCCTGGCTGACGTGAACGGAGCATCCCGGTTAGAGACAGAGAACCAGGACGAGGTGTGCGATGAGGGCGTGGGAAGGTCACCCATCCATCAACTGTTTATTGAGGCCTCCTGTGTGCCAGGCCCTGCACTGGGCACACAGAGGACGCTCCTGCCAACCTGGGACTCAGATGCAGATTATCCTAACATGGACAGCACTCTTCTGAGGTAGCACTAAGGACAGAGCCGGTGGGAGAAACGCCTGGCCTGATCCTGGGCTCAGGGAGAAAGGCCTCGGGTTGAGTTTTCCTGAGAAGTTCTCTTTCCTGGCAGGAATCCTCAGCAGCGATAGCCCAGCTGGGCCTGGGAAAGGGGGACAGCTCCATGGCGTTGTTATCACAACCTTGGCGTCCTTGGCGTTTGCATCACGCCCGACATCCAGAGCATCCACCGGCCCCACCGGGATGCCCTCTAGTCTCCCGCTTCTCTGCCCAGGCCTGTAGCAGCCGCGGTATTTGGCCTCTTGTCAGAACTCCGAGTTCCCATGTTAATCATAACAAGTGTGTTTTGAGAGGAACTGGCCTGGTCCCTGCCAACAAGACTTCTCTCCTGTCTTGATAACATCTGCACCAAATTTTCCCCTTTTATATAATTAGGCCCATTGGTATTTACTGACTTTAAATTATGGTATGAGTAGCGTCTCTGAAATTTCAGGCCTGAAGTATATGCTGGGGCCCAGGAAAGTGGGAAGAACTGAGCTTTCACTGATGGGTTTTCAAGTTTAGCAGGGGAGGGTGGGGTCAGAAACAGGACACCAGCTACCGTTTGCACCAAAAATGCACAGCAGCCCCCAACTGGTGGGAAGGGATGTCCTGCCTTGTCCTGGGAGCAGGCCTGGGTCAGGCCTGCTGGGGAGAAGGAGGCAGGAGGGCTCCCCCCCATCCTGCCCTTCCTCACCCTACATCCGCCCACCCTCTCTCCATCCCTGGCCCTGGAGTGATGGAGCTCGGCAAACAGGAAAAGATTCACTAACTGCAAAGAAATGCAGTGAATTCAGACTTAACCCCAGAGCCAACCTCACAAGCATTGGGGTTTGGAGCCTTGCTTTGAAATGCCTGTCATGGTCTGGCTATGTCCAACGGGAGCCGGGAGGAGCTGTTTTGGGTGCGAGATAAGAAGTGGAGCTGAGCTTGGGGGAGTTGGTTCTCTCCAGCCAGCTCCCACCAGGAAAGCAACTGAGGGATTTACAGGCCCACTCCCAGCATCTCTGGAGTGAGTTGTATCTCAGCAGTGACTTCATTTCCTCTGATGGGGTTTCCACAAACTCTCTGGAAGGTTCTAACCAGTAAGCCACACTGATTGTGGTGTGGGAGCTTTGATACGTTTGTTTGCTCTTTCCCTGTGGGACCCTGGAGGCCCCAGATGAGTGATAACGAGATGACGGTATATTTGCTAGGGGAAGGGGAATGCGTTTTTGTAAGATAGGGTTTGATCCCAGGCAGAAGGGAAGGTTCCGGATGCCTCTGCGATGCCGAGCAGTGAGGAGGGGGTAAAGCGCTCCTTCCCTGGTGCCTCGCTGGGGCACCCTTAGTTATTTAGACTCCCCAGGGGAACTCTGACCTTGGAAAGTTGCCTCAGGGGCTGCCTGGGAGTAGGGCAGGGTGCTGTGTTAGGGCGTCTCTGATTGTCTCTGCCAGAATGCTGCCCTTTTCTGCTGGTTGGTTGGTTTGTTTGTTTTAGCAATATTGGTGTTCCTGATAAGATTTTGTTTGAATAAAGGAGTTTTGCCCCGTATAACTTACTAGGTCATTATGTGCCTTCCCTTCTCTCCAAAATGTCTGTAGCTTCCTTGGGGAAACTTTATTCACCCTCAGTGTCCATTAAGACCTAGCATGGGACTTGCACAGAATCCTATTTGTCACCTCTGCCCACCATGGCTCCAGGGCCTAGAGGACCAAGACCACACTCCTGTGCCTGCCGTTTAAGCCCTTCAGCATCTGGCTTCAGACAAGCTCTCATCTCTTCTTCTCCTTTTCCTCCCTTCCCCCAAAGTATCCTTCTCTCCACCCACCTAGAGCTTTCTTCCTTTCCTTTTGAACGGGCCACCCCTTTGCTGAAATGTTGTTTCTTCTTTTTATTCCTGGCAAACCAGAATCAGTACAGCATGGTGGTGGGCTCTAAAGTGAGACCACATGGGCTTGAATCCTGGTTCTGCCCCTTTGAATTGGTGATACCTTGGACCACATATTTAGCTGCTTTGTGCCTCAGTTTTTCTATCTGTGCATTGGGACAGTATTAGTTCCTCTTAGATTTATTGTGAGGATTAAGAGCGAATACATATAAATCACTTTAACCAGTGCCTAGCACATAGTAAGTGCTCAGCAAATGTAGACTGTGGTCATGGTCACGGCGTCGGAGGCGGGCGGCGGCGGCGGCGGCGGTGGCGGTGGCGATGATGGAGCAGGAGGAGGAGGGGATGAGAGGTGCACGTGATGGTAAGTTTTCAGGCCTTCTCTGAAGTCTTTTACAGCCTACTAAGTAGGATTAGCCTCCCCACTCTGGGTTTCAAATAGAACTGACGACGTGGGGTCCTAATTATTTATCTCACAAGTCCAAGTCTCCCTAGACTGCGAGTTCCTAGGACTAGGTCTCATCAAGAATAACATCTCTACTGGTGTGTGTCAAACTTGATACCATATGCTTTTCTCTCATATAATTATTTTACTAAGATATAATTCACATACTATAACACTTACCCTTTTAAAGTATACAGTTCAATGTGCAACCGCATCACGATCTAACCCCAGAATGTTTGATTCCCATGAAAAGAAACCCTGCATCTATCGGTAGCCACTTCCCGACCCCGCCCCCCCTCATTCCCTTGCAACAACTCATCTACTTGCTGTCTCTATTGATTTGCCTGTTCTGAACATTTCATATAAATGGAATCACATATGTGTTCTTTTGTGTCTGGAGTTTTCCACTTAACATAATGCTTTCAAGGTTTGTCCATGTATCAGCACTTTACTCCTTTTTATAGCTGAATAATATTCTATTGTGAGGATCTACCATGTTTTGTTATTCATTGATTAATGGACATGGGTTGTTTTGACTAATGCTGCTATGATTAATGCTGCTATGAACATTCATGTACAAGGTTTTGCGTGGATATATGTTTTCATTTCTCTTCAGTATAAACCTAGAAGAGTTGTTGGGTTGTGTGGTAACTCCCTGTCCAACTTTTTGAGGAATGGCCAAATTATTCCAGTCCTTTCACCCTTTTACATTCCCACCAGCAGTGTATAAGGGTTCCAGTTTCTCCACATCCTCACCAACACTTGTTTTCATCTTCCTTCTTGATTATAGCCATCCTAGTGGTTATAAAGGGATATCTCATTGTAGCTTTGATTTGAATTTCCTAGATGACTAATGACATTGAGTACCTTTTCATGTGCTCATCAACATTTATATATCTTCTTTAAAGAAATGTCTGTCCAGATTTTCTCCCCATTCTTCAATTGGGTTATTTATCTTTTTATTGTTGAGTTGTAAAATTCTTAATTCCTTATCAGATATATATTATTTGCAGATATTTCTTTTCCATCTGTGGGCTGTCTTTTCACTTTCTGCATAGTAGCCTTTAAAGTACAAAACTTTCTAATTTTGATGAAGTCCAATTTACCGCCTTCTTTTTTTGCTTGTTCTTTTGGTATCATATTTAAGAAACCATTGCCTAATCAAGGCCACAAAGATGCACCATAAGCTTTTTAAAAGCAATCTTATTTTTAATAACTGTACAAGGAAAGGATAGCAGACCCATTTCACAGATGTGGAAACTAAGATGTCAAATACCAGAACTGGATTTAAGCCCAGTTCACTCTGACTCCAAACCTCATGTATATCTAACTGTGCCTCTCCTTAAGTCCCTTTACCTCTGCGTCCCTCACAGGGCTTGGCACAGTGCCTGGTGCACAGTAGGTCATGAACACCAGATAGATGAATGGCAGGTCCTAACAGGTGCTCGGTCTGCACTTGCTGTTTGATTTGGGTGGATGGGGGTTTGCTGCTGACTATGGTTTGTGCTTACGATGCTAGAGGTCACTGAGCGTCTCTTTCTTCTCTCACCTCACAGTGTCTCATCATTGGGGGAGGACCATGTGGTTTGCGCACTGCCATTGAACTTGCCTACCTGGGGGCCAAAGTGGTCGTGGTGGAGAAGAGGGACACATTCTCCCGGAACAACGTGCTACACCTCTGGCCTTTCACTATCCATGACCTGAGGGGCCTGGGAGCCAAGAAGTTCTATGGGAAGTTCTGTGCTGGCTCCATCGACCATATCAGTGAGTGGGGCCAATGGTGGCACCCCATGAGGGGAGGGGGCTGACCTTGGTAAGCATCTCTCTACACTGAGGGGTCCCTGAAATGTTCCATCTTGAAAGTCTTTGGGGGCTCCACACATCCAACGGGCAGATATTTAGTGAAGGGCCAGCCTTGTGCCGTGGACCAAGCCCTGTGTGGTAACCCACTGGGCTGTAAGCACCATGAGATCAAGGACTGTGACATGTCTTGTTCACCAAAGTATCTCCAGAGCATGAAAGAGTGCTTGACACATAGTAGATGCTTAATAAACTTCTGTTGAGTGAATGAAAGAAATATGGAAAACTGAGGCAGAGGTAAGTAACATAGTCTGCGCTCTTGGAGAACTCACTGAGGTTTTGTCAATAATAAAATGTGGTTTAATAGAATAGTCAGACTTGCTAGAGGAGTTCAGAGGAGGGAAGCCACACAAAAACCATTAAAGAGGCCGATTTTCGAGGCCTCTTACACAAAGGAGAATTGCTGGTACTGGGGAACCAGAGCAGCTTTTAGAACAGAGGAATGACGCAATAGACAGACCCCACACTACATTTCCTTGAGCTTTAAAAAGAGAGAGGGCATCATGATGGAAGTTCATTCAGAAAAGCAGTGGGAACAGAGGACATGGATTTCAGGTCCTGGGCCATCCTGGCATGCTCAAGCCTGGATCACTTGAGGCAAGATGCATGAATGGGCTTTGGGAGAGCAGCCCCCTCCTCTGATAAAGGACGGAGGCCTTTAGCCATTTTATATATAGCAACCATGACTCATAAAAGCTAGGGAGGTTAATATTGTGAGGAGAGTTCAAGGGTTTGAACAGATTGGGGTCCAAAATCTGTCTCGTCCATCTTTCTATGTGACTTGGGTCAAATTCCTTACCTTCTTCAAGCCCCAGTTTTGTCTCCCATAAATGTGGTTAATGTCTGCCGACTAAGATTGCAGAGAGGATTAAATGAGGTCAAGTTCTTAATGTGCTTAACACGGTACCTGGTGCATGGTAGGTACTCAGGAAATGCTTAACATCTCATGATGTGTGGTGAGCAAGAAGCAGCCAGCGTCCCTGAGCTTTAGAATCCAGAATTCAAAACATGGGTGGAAGGAGAACCCTGGAAACTATGTTTTTATAAAGACAAGAACTATTGGGAAATGGGTATGGGATTTGAGTGGGAATGACTGGAGAGAATTCTCAGCTATACAGGGTATAATTTAGTGTCAGACACAGAACTTACCAGCAGTGGCCCCAGAGTTTATTCCCACTCTAAGATGAGAAAATTCCATGAGTCCATTGGAAAGTAACTTGGATTTGCCCAGAAAGTTGCAGTTTCAGCTTCCAGGACATTTCCTACCACCCATGGAAGAATATGTGTTGGTTAGCAATTTAGAACAACATTAAGCACCACTTTCTCATCAGACCCTTCTGAGAGGCAGAGCTGGGCACTGGGAGGCCTTGTGAGGACCCCAGGGCTGTTGGGCTGCCTTCTTGGCCAGAAGCCCCTCTCTGCCCCACTGAGGGGGCTCCCAATGAACTCCTAGTCCTTGGAAACATCCCAGTGTGCAGAAATGCTGCCAGGGTTGTGTAACTGAGATTCAGACATTCAGAGTGGTCATTGTCAAGGGCAGCTCCAGGACCTGTGAGAAGGGAGGCAGGGAGAATTTATTGAGCACCTACTATGTCTGGAAACCTATAGACTAGGAACTTTGAAACTATAAGGAGAGGCCAGGCCTCCTCCAATGCCTGTTTCCAGGTGGGAGGTGGATGGGATTATTTAAGCCCCAGCTAATTGGCTTCCTTTCTGACTCACCCTGGTCTCCAACCCCAGCTGTGTCCTGAACCCTCAGCATTGCTCAGCAGTTTTCAGCTTGTCCTGTGTCAGCATCTTCCTCCAGTTCCCACCGTGGCTGTTCCAAACCTCCACCACAGCCCCCTCATTTTTAGTAGATGACCCCCTATGCTCTGGGGAGGAGAAGCCACTGGCAGGCGCTCCCCATTCCTTCCCGCCTCCTTCTTCCTCCACCCAAGGGCCGACTCCTTCCTTTCAACCCAATGTCAGAGGCAGAACCGACCATCCCCTCTCCAGCTTTATTCCATCTTGGACTCTTTCTTTCCTTTCACCTACCCCGTCACTTAGCCTGCTTGCTTCTGGCCTCGCACTCCTCCTCCGGGCCTTTGTTATTTCCCATTACTTTTCTTTACTTCATAGTATTTATTCTAGAAAGGAGATGTGGACTTTGTCTACACTTTCCGCTCATGTCTCCTTCCATTGCAGTTTGATTTCTCCTCTATCACTGAGTTCAAGAGCTTTTCACCGTGGTCTTCAGGAGCTCCCTAACTCCCAGGTGCCCTGGCCTCCTGCCGTCTTCCTATTCTGTAATCTCTTGGTGGGATGTGGTGTTCTTGGTCCCTCCTCTCTGGGCTTTCAGGACTAGAAGCTCAGGCCTGTTCTGTGCAACTCCTCTACCCCGCAACCACCGTGCCCTGCCCCATCCTGTCTACCTGTGTTTCCTCCATTATGGGGGGTATTCCATACCTCCAGGACCTACCATGGCACCTGGCACATTGTAGATGTTCAATAAGTGTGAGGCGAAAAAAGCTCATGAAATACAGAGGGATCCACAGAAAGCTTGAAGCTATAATCTACAGAAATATATTTGGAGGCAAACCTGTTTTTGCTGAATAGTAGGGGACAAAATAGAGAAGCAAGGTGCCACACATTGGGGGAGTTTCAGAGAGTGGGTAGGAGGTGGAGAACCATACACCCAGTTTTGTGGAGAGAATCACACCCCCCCACCCCTTACCCAGGATGGCTCAGAGCTTAGGCCTAGATCCCCAAAGAATGAGCCAGTTGATGGCTGACCTTACTTATGGGCTTTTACTGTCTTTCTCTCCTCTTTCTCTCTGTTTCTCCCTTCCTCTTCTTCCTCTTCCTCCTCCTCCTTCTGCTTCTTCTTTCCATCTTTATCTCGTCAAACCCACAGCCCAGGGAAGAGAGAGCCTCCATTGTTATAGCATATCTAACAGCCAGAGTACAGTCTTAGAATCAGAAAGAGCTGGGTCTACATTCTAGTTTAACTACCCTGTCACCTGCAGCAAATCACTTACCTCATTAACCCTCAATTTCTCATGTATAAAATGAGAATAATTATCCCAGAGGGCCACTGTAAGGGATAAATGAGAAAACACTGTAAGGGTTAAATGAGAAGACACAGTGTACGTGATACATAATTGCCCAGTAATGATCATTATTGATATATGGCAATGCTCAGAGATGATTGAGCAGTGATTATATAGTATTCTATACACAGGAGGTACCTGGACATTGCTATTGACAGCTCACCTTTCTTTCCCTTCCTTTCCAACAGGTATTCGTCAGTTACAGCTCATCCTATTCAAGGTGGCTCTGATTTTGGGAGTTGAAATCCACGTGAATGTGGAGTTTGTGAAGGTTCTAGAGCCTCCTGAAGATCAAGAAAATCAGAGTACAGTATAACTTTTCTCTCTAGAAATCAGATATTGCAAAATGGAAATTAGTTTTGCAGCTCTCAGAGGATGTTTCTGTGACAATTATTCTTATTGGGGGCTGTTTGGCATAATTTGATCAATGAATATTTTACTTTTTTTGATCATTGTATCACTTTAGCTTTGCTCTTCAGCTCCCAGGGTATATACTGTTAAGCCATTAAACCTGTAATTCGATGACTCTGCCATTAGGAGCTGGTACTTTGACAAATGAAGTCAAATCAGGAAGTAAGATAGAGGACATATTTGGTCGTCTGCTAAAGTCTATTCACATGCTTTTCAAGCTGTTTGTGTGCACACACAGATACGTAGATGCATTTGTTTACCCATATGATATATTTAAAATCTAGTAAAGAAAGGCTTAAGAGCAAATATGAAATAAATATTAAAAATGTTATTTGATATATAATATTTTAAGCTTTATTGAGGTATAATTTACAAATCATAAAATTCACCCATTGTAGTTATATCTTATTTAGTAATCCCCCCTTTTTGAGTATATTTATGTAAGTTCCGATTCTGTATATGCCATGGTCAGAGAGTGTATTCATGATGCCTCTGTATCTTATTATCAAAATTTTCTGCTGCCTGGACCAGGCTTTCAGTCTTGAGCCAGATAGTATTGGAGATCTCATAATTTCACACACAGGCTACAAATCTGATTTCTCCTGTCTTAGCCCAGGATATTGAGAACTTAGGGGAGACGTTAGTTGGCTTTTGTAGCTGGGCATCCATTAAACTTCCAGAGACCTGTGTGCTCTCAATCTTTCCCAGACCTCCAGGAGATGTTATATTCTAATTATGAGTAACCATCAGGGTTTCACCTGAAAATGGTTTCATAAAAGACTGTATGCTGCACAATGGAATATTTCGAGCATAATGAAGTAGCATTTCAAAATGGTTTCATTACGCCCTGAACATCCTTTTGGATCTGTTTAGCAATGGGAAGACATTGGGAAATGTGGGGAATATAAAGAGAACATGGTAGAATCTGGTGAGACTGGTTTGAGAATCCTTCAGGGTAGACTCCCAGCCTTTATAGAAACTGGTAAAGCCAAGCGTGGAGTTGGCTCTGCTGGTTTACTTGGTCTTGGATTGAACTAACACTAAAGCCCAAAGGACTCCATATTCCAGTGTGAATCTGGACAGCTCGGGTCTTTCCCCTGGAGGCTCTGTCTGGGGTGCCTATACCTGGTGGCATAATCACTCTCTCCTCCTACTACTCTCTGTGCCAACTCACCTCATTTTCTGTCCTGGTAGAAATTGGCTGGCGGGCAGAATTTCTCCCTGCAGACCACCCTCTGTCGGAGTTTGAGTTTGACGTCATCATTGGTGCCGATGGCCGCAGGAACACGCTGGAAGGTGAAGGCTCTTCTTCTTGGGGCTCAGGATAGGAAGACAGGAGTGGGAGGGAGTGGATCTGGGAGGGGATGTAAAAGAGGGGGCAAGGAGACAGACGCCAAAACTGGAGGGGGTCTCGATAGAAGGGCAGATCGCCCTGTCGTGCCTGAGGTGAACGTTTAGAGAGCAGCCATTTAATTCTCTCTGAACCTTGGTTTTTCCAACCATAAAATGTGGAGAATAGAACCCTGTTAGAGCATTGTTATAAGGGCTGGGAAAGGACTCCTATGCAAAAATGCTTCACTAAGGTAAAGTGCCTTGGAAATTAAAGAGTCGACATACGTTTATTGAGCACCCGCCAACGTTCAAGCCATGGTGCTAAGCACTTTCATACTTCATCTGAGATAACCACTTTTCAATACTATTCATGGTATCAGTTTACTGTCAGGGATAATACTCCAGAAGGAGAAGCCCATCTCTTTTCATAACTTTTAAGCACATTCACTGCTTGGCAGTAAGATGACTTTTGCCCAAACTGTCAAAGTGTAATACTGCTTCTCTGAGTTCTAAGTTTGGAAGCACAATATATTTTCTTGGGTCAGGATCTAGTTATGTAAGGAACCACATGGCTGGGAAATGCCTCAAGTAACCTCTGCCCCAGCCACACCTTGCACTAACTATACTAACTTGAGACCATGGGTTGTGGATAAAGTGGTCCTATGTGGCATTTCTTTGACTAGGGACAGGTCTGCTTTTTGACCTTGCCCTGCTCAAGGGCTGCAGACTGCAGATGCCTGACTGGGAAGGCACCTTCTCCGAGGATGGAACACACTCCCCCAAATTGGGCTGACCCTAGAGAATTCAGGATGTGAGGCTGGCTGGCTGAGGCCCTTCCCACCTGCCGTGCAAACGGTGCTTCTCTCTCTCTCTTCACCTCCACTCCTATTCCCCACCTCTGCAATCATAACCAATGTCTGACAGAGAATTTCTAGGCTGCCAACCCGGCTCTTGTGCTGTTAGAGGTTATGGGCCATTTGGATGGTTTGAGGAAACTGTAAGTCTGAATATTTGAAAGTTCAGGGTCCATGCTCAGTTTGAGAATAATTTGGCATTTTGTGAACACGAAGGGCAGGGTAGGAAGGAGGGGCCATTTGAACAACTTGGGACCAAGAAAGTAGACTGAAGCAAGGTTTCTCAATTGGCACTATAGATACTTTGGACCAGGTAATTCTTTGTCATGTGTGCTGTCCCCAAGACACTGTAGGATGCTTAGTGACTTCCCTGGCCTCTGCCCACTAGACACCAGTAGTACCCTTAGTTGTGACAACCACAAATATCTCAACAATTTGCCAAAGCCCCCTGGGGGGGGCAAAGTCACCTGGTTAAGAAATGCTAGACTAGAGAATAATGGCCTATTCTGGCCATTTTTGACAAAGATCTAATGAAGAATGTCTCAAAAGAGTGTGTATAGAGTAGAAACCCAAGATTGTTAGTCGACAGGATTTTTGACAAGGAAGCTTGGGAATCAGCATGAGTGAGGGGATGGGAGGGGAATTCCCACAGGGAGCTGAAGGCAGAGGTTGCGTCCTCTGAGCCTGCTCGTAGGAAGAACTCCCTGAGTTAGAGTGAACAGCAGTGCCTGGGGCAGAGCGGAAATTCAGGACTCTAGGAATAGGCTGATGCTGAAAAGAAAGGGGATTAGAAAATGATCTATTTAGATGTGACCACCTGCTTGTGATTTTCTCTATAACCACCTGTGAGACTGTGGTTTCTAATAAGATATATATATACTTGATCTTCATCGCTTTCTTGCACAGAGCTCCCCAAACCCTTGGGATTCCCTGAGTGCTAAGAGCAACGGGAGCATCTTCTGTTATAATATTTTGGTCTCTTGTCCTCAGTGCCTGAAATACCTTCAGAGCCATAAAGGTGAAATGGGTGCCTTTTTGTTCATAACAGGCCCATTTCAACCACCCCTGAGTTTATGTTAAGGAGGTGACTTTTGGAAATCACCTAAAGGCGGGGAGGGGACTGGTTGCCAGGGGAGCTGACCACTTTCAGTCCCACCCCCCTGACCTCTTGGGACCACCAGTGGCCAGTGATTTACTCAATCATGCCTAAGTGAAGTCTTCAAAAAGAAAGAAAGAAAGAAACAAACAAACAAACAAAAGGAAGAGGGTTCAGTGAGCTTCCAGAATGGTGAACAGGTGGATATTTAGGGAAAATGGCATGTCCTGAGGGGGCTTAGAGGCTCCACACCCTTTCCGCATACCTTGCCCTATGCATCCCTCTATCTGGCTCTTCCTGAGTTAGCTAGTAAGTAAAGTGTTTCTCTGAGTTCTGTGAGCTCTAGAAGTTAATCTAACCCAAGCAAGTGGTCCTTGGAACCTCCAAACTATCATTGGTTGGTCAGAAACCTGGGCTTGCAATTGGCATCTAAAGTGGAGGGCAGTCTTGTGGGACTGAGCCCTTTGCCCATAGAATCTGATGCTGTATCTGGGTAGAGAGTCAGAATTGAAATGAATGGTGGAACCCCCGTCTGGAGCTCTAGAATTGCTTGTTGGTGTGGGGGGAAAACCGACATTGAACTGGGCACAGAATTCTTACTGCCATTAAAAAAAATTGAAACATAAACCATTGAAAACTATAAGAACCCCAAGGATTCACTGTACTACATTAATTGCAGGTTAGAATGCCATCTCTTTATTATACACTTATTGAGTGTGTACAAAGTGCCAGTCCCTGGACTTGAGATAGAACGAAAATTTGTTAATGTTCCTGTCCTACAGGAATTCAATCTCATAATCCTGCTTTTCAAATGGGGAAAGAACTTGAAAATGCTAACAAAGTGGTTTTAATTGTGTAAGTTTAAAGTGCATGTAGATCTTTCGGGAGGTACCTAGCAACAATGCATAACACACCTCTAATAGGATGCGCCTGTGATTGCCTGTTGGAGAAGATCACTTGAACCTTTTGTTTGTCGAAGCCTAACTGGGATAATGGGTCCTGTAGACCTTAGAGAAGGAAAAAGCCTCGCTGCCTTAGAAAGGCCTCTGGTGATGTGTTCCTTCGCTGGGTGCAAACCTCGGCCTTGCTGCCTGCCCCTGGTCTCTAGAAATCCAGAATTCTCTTTTGACTGACCCATGGGGCATCCGAGAATAGCTTTCTCAGTAATCTTTTTCAGTTTACTGAAAATCCAGTTTCACACCAAATCCAGACGAAAGACCCACTTCTTCCCCTTTCCGTACGCAGGGTTCAGGAGAAAAGAATTCCGTGGGAAGCTGGCTATTGCAATCACTGCCAACTTCATCAACAGAAACAGCACAGCCGAGGCCAAGGTGGAAGAGATTAGTGGTGTGGCTTTCATCTTCAATCAGAAATTTTTCCAGGACCTTAAAGAAGAAACAGGTGAGAATGTTACCTTTCTCCAAACCAGGCCATTGTCACTTCCTGGAGCGCCCTGCGGAGCAGCTGACTTTCCCGTCCCTTGAGACTGGGATACTCACTCTAAATAAGTGGAAGCAGGGATTTCTCCTTATCTTCGAGGACAAGAGCAATTTTTGAGGGATAGTTCTAGGTGTTGTACATGAATATAGATGCACATTTATTTCCTCAGGAAACACTGAAGGCCCATCGTGTGCTGGTACTGACTATGGCGGGCATATAAAGTCAAGGCCGACACGGTCCCCATTCGAAGTGGCTCCCTTTCCAGAGATGGACACCCGCATTGCCCATCCTCGGGTGGGCTGGTCGGCTATGTGAGCGATCAGCACGAGATTTAGGGAGCGCTCTGAAGGGGGAGCCAGTAACCTGTGTGTGGCCTCTGAAGAAATCTAGGTGCTTTTGTGCAGTGTGCCAGGTGCCCTTCCTCCTGAGGGATGCCGGGGATGCCAGGGAGCTTGACACTCACCCAGGGCCATCAGTTGTCCCCAAGATGTGGGTGTTGAGGAAAATATTCATTTATTTACACAACAAATATGTATTGAATACCTACCAGGTGCCAGAGGCTGTTCAAGGGCGTGGGATAGAGCAGTTGGATCAAACGAGCAAAACCCTAGTCTCAGAAACAAATTCTATAGAAAGAGACCATCAATAAACAAATAACTAACATGTCAGGTGGCCTATAAGGATGGTAGGGAAAACAAAGCAGGGTGAGGGGAAAGTGAGGGATGAAACACCTTCTCCCAATTAAGTAACTTCCACATTTTTTTTTTCCTTTTTAAGCCAATTTAAAAAGATATATTTCTCCTTGAAAAGACAGTGTAACAGTAATGCTAAATCTTTACACTGAAAATAAATCATGCATATCTAGCACCACCTAGTCCAGGATAGTCCTCATTTTCATATGCTCCTTTTCAGTAATTTTCCCCTGCATCCCTACTTTTTACATGGACCTAGCTCTCATAGTGCCAACACTCTCTGTTATTCCACTTTTCTCATTCAGCACCACATTTTAGTGTCCCTATTGCTACCTAGTCATTCTGATGGTCAGCATGGGTAGAATAGCACATGAAGTGGATGTATTGTCTCTGCCTAAGCATTTTAAACCACAACGTGATAAGCAGGCTGTCTACGTGTTCTTGTATTGCCTTCGAGCAAAGAGTCATTTTAATGTCTTTAAATGGCTGAAGAAAAATCCAAAGAAGACTATTTTGTGACAGATTGAAAGTTATGTGAAATTCCAGTTTCAATGTCTTTAAATAAAGGCCTGTGGGCACGCAGCCACTCCGGCCTGTTTACGTTGCTGCCTGTGGCTGCTCCTCCTCGGGTGGTGGCGGCACAGACAGTTGGGGGCTCACAAAGCCCAAAATACGTACCCTCTGGCCCTTTACAGAAAAAGTGTGCTGGCTTCTGAGGTAGGCCTTTCAGTTATTTACTGTTGCAGCTAAAACTTCTGCTTCTGTTGGATTATTTTGTTAAGATAGGTTTCTAGAAATGGGATTCGTTGCTAAGCCAGACTCTGCCTCTCACTGGCCACAGCGATGTGTACCCATTGCATGACCCTCTGAAATTCAGCACAGTTGCAATATTTTATTTGAAAAAGTATTTCCTTCCAGCATATTATGTCCCTCTGAGTGATTTAAGAAGTCTCCAACCCTCCCTTCCCCTCAAAAACCAGGAAAATAAATACTTAAATAAACCACCAAATATAAATGATGGCAGGACTTTGAGTGTGTTTTTCCAAACATTTGAATGAGCTTCCGTTAACCTTTGCTGTGGTCATCACCTTTGGCCATTGTTTCACAACACTGCCCCTTCCACAGCGACAGTGACAGCCATGAATTTCCTCTGGTTCTCTGGGGGGCCCTCTGCATTGATGGCTACTTCCTATTTAATAGTAATTAAGGGGTCCCTGTGGTTTACCCAGCATGCCTCTGTGTTGACTGCTTATAAGTTGCCATGCATCTGTTCCTTTCCCTCCATCGGCAGAAGCTAAGCCAGTGCTTCTCAAATCAGAATCCCCTGCAGGACATGTTAAAGCATGGATTGCTGGCTCTACCCCAGGAGGCCTGGGTTGTACCCTGGCATTTCTGCAAGTGCTCAGGTGATGCTGATGCTTTTGGCTGGAGTCCCCACTTTGAGAACCCCTGAGCTAACCTCTCATATCACAACATTGTTTTAAATTCAGAAAACCTAGTCTATGAAGTGTTTTTGCAATTGGTGGAAAGTGAAGAAAGATACGACCCAGCCCTCTAACCTGAGTTGCCCCTCCCAGAAAACCTGGGTTCTCACACACAGCCAAGAAATGGTGGAAACATCGCTTAGCTGTGTTCACTTAGGTACAGTCTGGCACTTGGTTTTCTCTTTTCCAGCCTCGTATGTCTCAAAAACTCATCCAACGTGAATATTCTGCAGGTGAATAAACAGGGAAAGTAGAGCTCCCGGTGCACCAGGCACTGAGGGAGCAGTACTGAGTGCACGGATGCTTCTCTTTGCAGGCATTGATCTCGAGAACATTGTTTACTACAAGGACTGCACCCACTATTTTGTCATGACCGCCAAGAAGCAGAGCCTACTCGACAAAGGCGTCATCATTAATGTACGTATCTCTTGGCTGTTACATCCTGTTTTGCCTTTGTGACTGGGGCTGGCAGCATCAGCGAGTGTAGGAGTGGACATTGCCCTACCAGAAACTGAACACGGGGGAAGAGGAAGGGACCCCCCACCCACCACTTTCCTTCTTGGTTTTGCGTGAGTGTTGGATGATTGAGGCTACAGCAATACACACAGAGGTGGGGCTGAGCCCCTAGCCAGGTGTTAGTGCGGGTCTTGATCCCTGAAAGATAACCTGGGTCGTTGTCTTCCTCACAACTCATTCAGCCCTGCCCTCTTTTCTGGGAGGTCACCGTCATTTGGAGGCAGATGGGGGCTTCTTATCCTAGTGGGACACAGAGGCACTTTCACTTGTGAATTTCACACTGTAGCCTCCTTGTCATGGTATGGGGGGAAGCTCTTGTCGTCAAGAAGACTTGTGTCGACTCTTGGCTCTACCGCCTATTAACTCGGGACCATGGCTAGCTGCCTAACCTTTCTGAACCTCAGTCTTCTCTGCAGAGTAGGAATAATAGTTTCTGTCTGAAAGGGTGGTTTGAAAGAGTGCATTTAAAAATGCACACAGAGTGCCTAGCACCATGCCTATCATGTAGTAGATTCCCTCCATAACTTCTCTACCCACTTCAGACACCTGTTTTTCTGTCCTGCTGGCTTCCTGGCCTCTGCTTCCTGCCTCTGCATTTTCCTGTTTAACAGAGAGCAGGGTTGGCAGGAGGGTGCATGGAGAGGCAGGCCCTGGGCTGGAAGCTTCTGTGGTCAGGTGTCCAACTTTCCAGAGCCCCTGCTCTTGCCACTGCTGCTGCTGTAGCCCCAAGATAAGGATCGTGCAGTCCTGGGTCAGCCTGCTCTCTGGCATTGGCCTACAGCCCAGACGGCATGGTGGCCATTCACGGTGGTTTGTCAGAGAAGAATGTGCCTATCTTCTCGCCAGCTCATGCTGGCAGCAACCAGATGGCATTAGTAACCCAGCCCTCCCCTGGGCCTCCTCCACATTGGTCAAGTTTTAGTTGAGAACCGAAGTTGCTGGATGGGCGGTATGAATGAGGGAGAGGAGTTGAAGGGAGCTCACGGAGCATCACCAGCAGATGTGTGAGCTGTGAGCTCAACACCTGGTGCCCCACTGCTGACTCGGTCTGGGGGAGGCAAGACAGCGTCCCCTTCTTTTTTCTGCTCCACAGGTGTTTCTCCCAAAGTTGTCACCCCTGTTGGGATACTGGTGCCAGGTAGAGAAGAACTATTTGGGGCTTAGGGGTGCAGAGGCAGTGGGTACCTTTGTGGGGGGTGAGGGGAGGGAGGGTTGTGTCAGCCTCTGGGGCATAAGGCCAAGTGTGACTTGGGTTTCCTATTTCACTGGCTGAGCGCTCCAGCCTTCTGGGGCACCGCTTCCCTCAGGCCATCCCCAGGCCTTTGTCCAGGCCAGAACGTGTTGTTTATGGGGACTCGATTCCTCAGCAGTTGTCAAAGCCCTTCCGTCTCCATCTCAGGCTCTCCGTCGTGGCACGGGTGGGTGAGAGTGACTCACTCTGGGCCCACATATCGTAACCATGGAGGAGCTGGGAGCAGATCCCCAGCCTGTGCTTGGCCTCACCAGGGCCTCTCTTCACCCTCAGAGAGCCTGGGAGCAGCTTCTGAGCTGGTGCTGAGGGGTCTCTAGGTATGAACTCTCATCTAGAAACTGAAGGCCGTAGGCTGGACGTAGGGGAACTGGACACCCATTTGGTTCAGGAGCTCTGGCCTGAGTCTCCAAGGCTGCAGCTGAGCTCTGCAGTATTTGCATAAGCTGGGAGCTGAACCACCTATCCTGAGCCACTTGAATTAACATTCACCTTACTCCTGAAGGAATGGCAAGTCCTCTCTGCTTGCCTCTCCCTATGTGGGTCCCCATCTTCCTAGAAATACACAGAAGGTGCTGAGGCCATGTTTGTTGAATGACTGATCTGCTTCCACATCTATTCCTGCTGATCTCTGGGCTTCTTTCTATGACTACTAAAGAGAGAGTAAAGCTTCCCTCAAGAAACCATGCCCCTGGGCTCCCAACTGTGTCCACTTTGCTCTCCCCCACAGGGAGGGTGGCTTACCCCCCAGGACCCTGCCTCTGCTGGCCCACACACACACATGCAGGCTGGGATTCCAGGATGTGGCGGGCTTGGTCTTGCCACAGTGGGGGCTTGGTTACCAGGTGCGTGAGGTGGACACACCTCAGAGCTGGTCTCCCGAGGCCAAGTCCACCCTTGTTGGAAGTATTGGGCAGGTCCTGTCTGACCTTTGCGTCTGGCCTACGGCCTCTATTCAGCTCAACACTTGGCATGACTGTTCTTCCTGTTATAGTACCCACCTCTGCTCATTTTTGCTGCTTCCTTCCACTCCCTCACCTGTCTATTCAGCATTCAGCCTCCCTTCAGTATGCTAGGCCTATGGGAAATAGGACCCAAATGCCTTCCCCTGCTGTTATCTGAATTTAGAACTGCTTCACTTGGCCTGCCCACTCTGCTGAGAGCTTCAGTCCTGCTGTTGTTTTCCTCGTCCTTGTTTTCAACCCCTCCCTAGGGTTCTGCTTCTGCCACCCACCCACTCACCTGGGACTCCTTGCCCTGCAAGGCCCCATGGCTCCTCTCCACAGCCCTAGGACAGATGATCCATCATCCCAGTGCATCCTGGGGGCTGCCCTTTTGCCAGGTCCCCATGCTCTTGCTTGGAGCATCAGCACTAGACATGGTACTGTGTCCACATTCACCTGTCACCTGGTCCAACTCGGGTGTTTTGAAAAGGGGGCTCTTTGAGACCTGTCTATTCATTTTTCTCTTTCTCATCCCCACACGTTCAAGGGGAGGAAGTGATCGCATGGCTGTAGGAATGGGTATGAGAGAGGAAATCAAAGAACAGGAGCTCCAGCCTGGACACCACGACCTGACAAAGGGCTCTTGGGCCACTGCTGATGCAATTGAAGTGACATGATTTGGGTGTGGAAATAGTAGCATTCCTGGAACAAGGTGTTTGAAATCCTGGCGAGTGGGAAAACTGACCCAGTAGGTCACTCCATCTGTAGATGAGGCTGTACCTTCTCAGATCTTTGTAAATGCTCTTGTTGATGCCTTGGGTGGGCCCAGGCTGCACTTCATCATATGCTGTGTTTCATGTTATCATAATTGAGGACAGGAATCCCATTCACTGAGCACTTCCAACACACCAGCCATTGGGCTGGGGGGTTTATAGGGTCTCATTTGGTCCTCACACGACTTTGTGAACTAAATTTTGTTATTCTTATTTTACAAGTAATAAAATGGAAAGTCAGAAGAGTTGAATAACTTGTCCAAATTTACATAGTCTATAAACAGCAGAGGGGGAATTTGACCTGTTGGTCTCAGTAGCCCCAAGGCCTATGTCGGTCACATACACGTGAGTCCCTGTGCCCCCACACTCTCCCAGGGATGTGCACCTTCTGTGTCACCTTTTGGAAAATACAGTCTTTTAGTTTCTTTAGCCACAGAATGAGCAGATTTGAGCCTTGGAGTCAGGGGTCCTACAGTTCACTGCCAGTGTCTCTCCAGGCTGGGAGTCCTAGTCCTGTAGGCTCAGGTTCCTATCCCCTGGCAGGAAGTGTAGCAGTTGATGCTGTGAGAGCAAAGCAGGGCTCTGTGCACCCTCAGCCTGTTGAGAAAAGGGGTAACTGATTTTGGAGAGAAAGTTTGAATTATGTCCAGCACCCATTTCTTTTCCAATCTTGTTTGACCACTAAACACAGTGTATGCGGATCACATTAGCTTAGCTTAGTTCATTATAAAAGCACTCTTTTCTCTTTTAATTTAACTGAAGTTATCACCAGAAACAACCATATGAAATATTTGCTGCAAGACCATTATTATGTACACTGTTCATTACAACACAGTATTCTCAGTTGAAATCCCTCTGTGAGACAGTTCTTTCAGAACTTAGTGCCAGGAAAAAATTGCCTTCCCTGAAGACTTTCTATGCTTCCTCCTTTCTGATAAGGACAACCATGTGATACGTCACATTTCCCTTTTGCCTTGGATGCCAGGAAGCTCAATGCCAAATTTCATGCTTAATCACAACTCTGTTAATCCTCACAGCTAGCTGATTTCATTCCTCCTTCTTCCCCTGATTTCCCCCCTTGGCCCTGATTTTCTAATCTCTGCTTTGATTAGCTTCACTGTGCAACCCCCCTTCCAAGTCCTTCTGCAAAGAAGTGGGTATGAATCCTCGCCCTGCAAAGGGGCAGGCTGCTGCACTGTGCTCCTGTTCTTCCCCCAGGACTACATCGACACCGAGATGTTGCTGTGTGCAGAGAATGTGAACCAGGACAACCTGCTTTCCTACGCCCGCGAAGCTGCAGACTTCGCCACCAATTACCAGCTGCCATCTTTAGACTTTGCCATGAACCATTACGGGCAGCCCGACGTGGCCATGTTCGACTTCACCTCCATGTACGCCTCAGAGAACGCGGCCCTGGTGCGCGAGCGCCAGTCACACCAGCTGCTCGTGGCCCTGGTGGGCGACAGCTTGCTTGAGGTACCGCTCGTGTGTGGGGCCCCCTCGCTTCTGCTAGAAGACAGATCCCTGCATTTATGTTTGGCTGCAGCACCTGCTGTCATGCTCCTGGGGAAGGACAGGCCGTCTGCCAGGAGGCGGGACTCCGCCAAGCCCATCCTGGCCTCAGAGCCTGCCCTTGCCCTAAATTCAGAGGAGCTGGTTCTGTCTGTATCGGCCAGAGAGCTTTCTTGTCCACCTCAGGGTGCTTCTGGGCTGACCTCTTGTTGAAGTACAAACTTAGGCGGCCAGGTCTGGACTTCCTGGCCATTCTTCTCGGAGCACGCGGAACCTCAGCTGGGCCAAAGCTCCTTCCTCATGTGTGTGGATCTTTGTGGCCTTTCAACACTGAGGACATGTCAGATGCAAGAGAGGCACATGGGCCTAAAGTCCAGTTTCCGTTCATGGCCTCCTTGCTCAAAATTCTTCCCAGAAAATTGGCAAATGCCAGGATCCTTAGGTTAAATAAATGCTTTCAGAAGGGATACATTTTCATTGTTAATGTAAGCACTAACCAAAATGTGTTTATATGTATTTATCCCAAGTTAAGCATCAAATTCCAAACTCTGCTTTGGGTACGCATGGGACAGTTGAGTTAGAACCAAGCTTGGTGAATGAATCCTAGCTCACCCTTATGTGTGGACTATAACCTAAGCACCTAGCACTCAGCACCTCACCCCTACACCCCCTTCTCAGCTTCATCTCTCAGTCTCCGCTCCATGACCTCTGCTATTCCCAAACCAGACGGACTGTTTTGCCATCAGGCTCCGTCATTTTCCAGCCGCCAAGACTTTGCCCACTATTTTACGCCCCCGCTATTTGTGCATGGATTGAAATGAGAATCCTAATCATTCTTTAAAATCAGCATAAATGCAACTCTTTTATGAAGCATTCCCTACTTCCTTCCCTCAGGGTGGGAGTTGGCCTCTGCCTATTTTGAGCCCCAAAGCAGTTCTGTTGTTCCTGTGTCACAGGACCCTGTACACATGGCTTCTGCTGCGGGTATTTGTCTCTGTGGGAATCTTAGTGGGCTGCCCCCCTCACCTCTCTGAGCCCCACCCCGTGCCTCGCATGGGCGTGGCAGTCGGAGAGTGCTGGGTAATGGGACAGCAGGCCGGGAGTCGTTAGAATCAACCCAAATTTTGCATGTTTTCCTTTACAGCCCTTTTGGCCCATGGGCACAGGCTGCGCCCGCGGCTTCCTGGCCGCCTTTGACACGGCATGGATGGTAAAGAACTGGGACCAGGGCACTCCTCCCCTGGAGCTGCTGGCTGAAAGGTAAGTGTGGGCAGCCAGGCTCCTGGCTGAGGCAGAAGAAGGAGTGTGCCTGGCTGTTAGGCGGCACCTACACAAAGCCTTGGGCCCCTCTCATCTGCCTTCCCACCTGTGGCTTGATTTGATCATCTGAGTCCCCAGGGAAACTTTCTCCATCATGATCTACCTCCTTCACTGACTTTCTCTGGGGGCCAGGACCATAGGTCCTAGATGCCAAGGAGAAATTTTCATATGGGGTAGCCCTGGAGCTGGGGTTTGGGCACTGCTCAGTTGCACAGGAGCCTTAGGGGTTTAGGGGATGCTTCCATGCAGGTGCTGAGTGCCCTACTCTGTTGGGAGCTGGGTTTTCTGATCCCCCCAGGCCTCTTCTGCTGCTGAGATCCTGGGCTTCCTCCCTGCTGTTGGACACGTGGCTGTGACAGCTGGTGGACTGGGAGAAGTCAGGCCTGGTGGGTGGGGACAGGCCTTTGCTGGTCTTGGGTGTGGAGGCCTGTGGTCATGGGGGACAGACCACAGGAGGCCACTTGGCTAAGTGGCGTTTATAACAAAACCACAGGTCACTGAGCTGCCAGCTCTGCCTGGGGTGGTGGCCAGCATCCCCACCTCCTTCCTGCCTTCTCTGTGCCCTTTTGAACTTGCCCTACTTTGCAGATCTCAAGAACCACAAGGGCCAGGAACTGCAGGGAAGGGTTAGACAAGCACGTCTGAGAAGCCCTCGAGAGCAGGAGAAGAGGAGTGGGGGTGGGGACAGCGGCCTCAGGCTTCAAGGCAATCCCTAACCCTGTGCTCTGCCTCCCTCCAGAGAAAGTCTTTACCGGCTGTTACCTCAAACGACCCCAGAGAACATCAACAAGAACTTTGATCAGTACACGTTGGACCCGGGGACACGGTACCCAAACCTCAATTCCCATTGTGTCCGGCCCCATCAGGTAAGTCCTTCCTTGGGGTCTCATCTGGGTCACTCTGCGCTGAGCAGTGGAAAGGAGGGGTCACCTGAAATCTTGGCACATCCCTGGGACCACGGCCACCCATCCCTTTTGTCCCAAAGATGTGATCAGTTCCCCTCTCTAGGAGAGTCATGAGAATAACATAGAGTCAGCATCTCTCTAGCCTACAGGAGAGAAATGGACATATGTGAGTGTATGTTCATATTTATACATATATTTACTATGTTTGTTACCATGCATGCGTGTTGCTAAGTATCCATCTCTCAAATTATCTATTTGGCCGGATGTTGAGTCCTTTCCATCACCATCGTAGAGTCCATCTTTTTTCTCCCATTGACTAGGAGCCATACAGCCTCTTCAGTGTATAGCAGAGAGTGGTGTGAATTTTAAAAATCAGCCAATGACATATATTTACACTTGAGTGCTTCCACATCTGGGTAGATAATTGAGATCCGTTGCTTTGTGTCTCAGGTGACCTGGGCTTCTTTGCAGAGGGTCCAACAGTAGAGAAAAAGGGTAGCGGACACTAAGTAGAGACTAGGTCAGGTTCAGAGGCCCTGAGGCTAGAATTTGGGGGAGAACTGGTGGGCAGCCGTGCATCTCCCTTGCTTGTAGGTGAAACACTTGTACATCACTACGGAGCTGCACCAGTTCCCTCTCAAGAGGATGGGCTCGGTGAGGAGATCCGTGGGCCTCTCCAGGCATGGTAAGCATCCTCCCCGGGACCCCAGTGAGGCCACTGGGGTGGGGGGTACTTGGTGAGGAAGGACTCTGCCGGCTGGCCAGGGGCCACAGGCCTTGCAGCTAGCCTGGCTGTGATCCGATGACCTGGTGGCCTTGGCCACGCTGCTCTCCTCTGTACTCCAGCTTCTGCTTCTGTAAAAACAGGACAGCGAAACTCCTACGGTGTAATCATCATAAAGGAGTTAATATGTGCTGAGCACCTGACACATTAATGTGAACTGTGGAATGACTTCCCTGGGACTTGCTTTTCATTCCCTTTTATTTCCAGGATGGGGGTCTTGTCTCCCCAGCTGGACAACCTGCATGTGCTCCCTGATCTTCCAGGGCCTGGCTCAGTGCTGGGTGCAAGGCTGGTGCTCAGTAGCAAAGGGAAGGGATGATTAAATGTGCAACTCCCCCGATACCCATTGGCTTTGCTCAGGTCATTCTTCTGGGTCCTCCCTGCCTGTGGGCCAACTCAGCCTTACCAGTCGCCCCTCCCTTCTGGGCAGCACCCCGTGCCCCTCTGCAATCAGCCGTTCCACACAAACACGGCAGGTTTCCCTCGAGGCCATACCATGGCACTGCCCTTTCTGTTTTCCTGCAATGCCTTCTTGTCTCATGAATTGCTAGACACTTCGAGAAGCAGCTCAAATATACCTCCCTTGTGACTCGCTTTGGCGAGTGCTCCAGCCCTGGCAGACTCGGGGCAAACCCCCTCACTCGTTCCCCCACCACCCTGCTTCTCCGTCATTGTAGCACCGTGTCACGATCAGCTGCTTCTGCATCTGTCGGCCCCACTGGATACAATGCTGGGCGAGTCCACGCTGTCCTCGGGGTCTTAGGCACTCTTTGCTGTAGGAGAGCATGCATCCTGTCCCAGCATCCCGCCCTCCTGCCGTGCTGTTGACAGGGCTTCTTGTCTTGGTGCTGCTCCTCTTGGTCCCCAGCCATGGTGGCAGTGAGAGAGGGGACCCTGACATTTCCCCAGAGCACTACACTGCCTGTCTCCCCTTCCTGCAGAGTCAGACATTCGGCCCAGCAAGCTCTTAACCTGGTGCCAGCAGCAGACCGAGGGCTACCAGCATGTCAATGTTACCGACCTGACCACCTCCTGGCGAAGTGGCCTGGCCCTGTGTGCCATCATCCACCGCTTCCGGCCTGAGCTGATGTGAGTCCGGGGCCCAGGCTGGACCTGCCAAGCCCCTCAGAGCCCAAGGGGACCCCAGAGACAAGGGAAGCTGGGGCTGTTCTGCTAGATGCAGAATCTTCAGAACTTGGTTCAAAATTTCTCTTTGCATATTTTCGATTTTTTTGTGTGTTGTTTATTTTCCCCGTGCACTGATTAATCAACCCACAACTCATTTGATCTGTGTTTTTAACAAGTGAGAGCAAAAGTGACTCAGGCTCAGTGGTTATACTTGTCTCCCCACCTGCTCCATTGCCACACTTGGGAAATCTGAGCATTTGCACCATGGAGCTCTACCCTTAAGATGGGAATTATGGGCAAGACCTACTTCTGTGGGAATAGGTGAAAGTTTACAGCCAAAATATTAGATTTGAGAACCAGGGTGATTAGCTGTGTACCATTGGGCAGGCGACTTATCTTCTCTGAGCTTGTTTCTTCATTTACAAATTGAGAATAATGTCAAGTTCATTAGGAAGATTGAATCATGTTGGTGGAAATACCTCGTGATGTTGAAAGCACAATGCATCTATTGATGTTGCATTTAAATCAGCTTGTGCAGTGTAACCTCACACCCATGAGCAAATTCCTCCAAGGGATGGGAGGAAACCTACTGATTATCTATCGGTGCCTTTAGGAAGGGAGGGAGCCTTGAGAAGGAGGTGGGACTCTCACTTATTACTTTACATGTTATAAGTAACTTGATTCTTTTTGTTACAAGAAGCCCATGTTGGTCTTGTAATGAAAAGAAAAAGAACAGGAACTATTTAAAAGTAAAGTAGCTCATACGTTTTCCAAAAATGGTATAAATCATTTTCTGATGGCTTTCAGCCCCGGCAGGGATGACATTGTCATGGCTCAAATCTGCTTTGGTCCCACCCCAAGTAAGCAGGACAGTGTTAGTGTCCTGTGCCTGAGCCCCCTGGGGAGCGGGGTGGGGGTGTGATCGGGGACAGAGGTTGGGGTCATGGGTCACTGCTCCTTTACCCCCTCCCAGCTCTGCCTCCCCTCCCTGATTTTCACCTTATTTTGATTTTCTAGCAACTTTGACTCTTTGAATGAAGATGACGCTGTGGAGAACAACCAGCTGGCGTTTGATGTGGCCGAGCGGGAGTTTGGCATCCCCCCAGTGACCACGGGCAAGGAGATGGCGTCAGCCCAGGAGCCTGACAAACTCAGCATGGTCATGTACCTCTCCAAGTTCTACGAGCTCTTCCGGGGCACCCCGCTGAGGCCCGTGGGTAAGGACCTGCTTCTGGACCAGGCTTCACTCTGCCCATATGTCATCTCTGCCCTGTGCTCTGTCTGGCTGCTCTTCACACTGGTGTCTTCTGTTCTGGGGCTGAACCATGTTGTCCCTTTGCCTCTGAGGCCGATCAGGGGTGGATGCCACCCACCTGGATCCATGTATGTCAGTCGGCCTGTGTACAGGTGCCGTATGATGCTGGACACCTGCCCCTGATGTTGGGAGGTCTCTGGTAGAGCTGCACCAGCTCCCCACCTAGGCCATTTACATCATTAGTTGAGGGGAGAGCATTAATTTGGAGGGATCTTATAGCAAGGACAGCCCTGAGCCCTTGGGTAGCTGTGGCAGGATCCAAATCTCAGTCATACTTTTACTTCTTAACAGACTCTTGGGGCAAAAACTATGGAGAAAATGCAGACTTCGGTGTGGCCAAATCATCCTTTTCTCACAACTATCTCAACCTCACGTTTCCAAGGAAGAGGACTCCACGAGTAAGTCTGGCCTTGGGCTTTGTCTAATTTCTTCTTGCTCATATATGGGACAAGGGGATTGGAGAATGTCTTGCTCTTGGTCTGTTTCTGCGGATAAATTATACAGAAGGTGCTCACAGAAAACAGAAGTAAAATTCAGATTAGTAACTGAGTGTTTTTGGAAGTTTCCTCTGGCCTTTTCTAGCTAGGCTGGCTTCAGTGACTTTAAAGTGGTTACAGGAAGATCACGGTAGATCAGCACTACCTCCAAAGCGGGGAGGAGGAGACACTTTCTCACCTTGTTAAGCAGTTTCTTTAGATCAGGGACACAGTGGCCATTTGGTGGCAGGGGTATATGAGGATATTATATTCACACAGTCTTTTCTATTCATTTTTTTTAATTCATTCAACAAATGTTCATTGAGCCCTACTGAATGCCACCATTAGGGCTGAACTTCTTGTTTGATTTTGACGAGGGAAGAAAATACACAGAGATGAGTAACATATGGGTCTTGCCTTTGAAGAGCTAAGAGCCGAGGGAAGCGGTGTCCAGACTCTCCTGACTTATGGCTCCCTTAGTGTCTCAGTCATTTTTTTCCCTGCGGTGCCCCTAGATCAAAAGAAATACCTACAAGTTCCATTTATCAAGCAGTTAAGTTCAAATAACTTAGTAGGGGTATTTTGCAAGGTATTTAACAGACTTCACCATGCTTCCCTAGAAATTTAAAATATTCTGTGGCTCCTCTGTCAGTTTACTACGGTGCCGCAGGTTGCCTTGGTTCCCAGTTTGGGAAGCGTGGCCTAATGAGAAATTATCATTTTATTTGAGTGATGGCATCTCTGTGGAAGGATAATACAAGTCATCTTATTGTGGTCATGGTACAGATTTTAAAAGGGAGGCCCAGAGATGCTCGGGGGCAAGTACAGGCACAGGGCTCTCCTTCCCTCTCCCGCGCACAGGGCGGCCCCCTCGCTCAGCAGAGGGCGGCAGGCATCTGCACGTCTCAGTCTGTCTGAGTTGCAGACAGTCTCAACCCCTGGCCAGTCGTGCCATGTCCTGCCAGCCCCTCCACCCAGGGTGGGGCTGGGGCCGGGGCCGTGTGGTCTCCTCCCTTTCCCTCAGCTGCGTGTGCAGTGGTCACTTTTTCCACTGAGGTCTGCGCACCCTGGAAGGTTGCAAGCAGTTGTTGTGCTAACTCCAGGAGAGGGGTAGGATACTGACTGCCCCGCCACGCCCTGTCTATAGGAGGGAATGGGCGGGCCGAGCGAGGCCTGGGGAGGAAGCTGTGCAGGTCTGTTGGGGTTTCCAGCAGGGAGCTGAAGGGCTGAGCTGCACCCAGCTGCTCTACCCTGCTCTGCACCCCATGCTGCCCCACCCCTGTGTAAGGGCTGTGTCCCCCACCACATGTCCCATGACAAAGAACTGTCTTCTGGAGACCAGTCTTAGGCTTGTTTCACCCCATGCCAGTCATGTTTCCCCCGAAGCCCAAGGACCCCACTCTGGGCTGCCCCATCACAGGCGAGCTGACGTCATCTTTCTGGAAGCTCTCTGGGCCAAGCATTCACTGCCTTTCTCCGTTCACCTAGTTTCTCCCACCACAACTGGGCACAGCATGGGGAACTGGAGAGGACTGTTTAAACCTTTCACTCACCACACTTCTGTTTAAAGAGTGACCAAATCGAAAGGGCCTGGCCAGCTCTAGCTCAGGAGGCGGGAATGGTCAAAAGTCAGTAGTCAGCAAGGCCAGCCAGGCCCTTGATGGCTGCTGGGGCCTTGCACCACTTTCCGCTGGCTCTGCTAGGAGATGTGGGGGAGCAGGGGCGCTCTGCCTGACCAGCCCTGACTGGTTTTGAACCATGTCCAGCCTCCTTGGGGGTGTGCCCATGGGCTGTCCATCTTAAGAGAAGTGAAGAGCCACAGATCTGATCCCTCCCACAATCCCATTTAATGCCCCAAAGTTGCCCTGCTCTTCAGATAGGGAGAGAGATTATTAGGTCATTGAAGTATCTTATTTGTCTTCTCTTAAAACTGATCGATTGCATCCTCTGGGTGGGATGGCAAGGTAGCAAGGCCAGTGGGTCACAAGCTCCCTTGGTTATCACTGAAATAGCCAGCAACTGTCCACTACTCTGCCAGCGCAGCCATTGGACCACTTGGAAAGTCCCTTCCCCCCATTTGACCATGTATCTTTTTGTTGTATCTCGATGCTTTTTTGATTTGGGGAACCTGTTTGCAATGCTCTTTGGTCTTAACATTTCTCACAAGCAAAGAAGTAGAGTCCACTCCAGTATCCCCTGGGACGGATGTGGAAGATGTCTGCCCGGAAGCTCAGAAAACTGCACATAACACAGAGGCTCCGCAACAGTCATACCCAGAAGATATCAGTGCAATTAGATCCACAACCCTCGACACCCCAGCTCATGTGCCCCTTGGGCTGGCCCCACTTGCGTGATTCTCTGCTATAAGTGCACCCACAGAAGGTGCATCTGTATTCAACCTTCTGTTCTTCCCTGCCCCCCGACCCCCTCACTAGCCTCCAGAGGAGCATTGAACAGCCCATGTTTGTTCATAATGTGACATCTTAATGTGAAGAGGGTTCATTGTTTCTCTGCTAAGCCAGCCTTAAAAATGTCTCTCCCTCCTAGTTTTCACCATTGGTGTTAAATATTTCTCTCATCCCTGATGCTGATAATGTAAAAATCCCAGCAAGACTGGCCAACATTAGTCAAAATAAGACTTTTTCCCTCCTATGCGCCAGGAGGGTTGTCCCTCTGGTGATGGTAACTGTGGGGTTGATTGACTAGACAGTCCAGGCTTCTGAAAAAAAAAGAGCTTGAGATTACATTTTCCTCTTTTTTTTTTTATCCTCACCCAAGGACATGCTGACTGATTTTAGACACACACACACACACACGCACACACACACATCAATGTGAGAGGGAAACATTAATTGGATACCTATCATATATATCCCAATCAGATTGAACACACAGCCTAGGTGTGTGCCCTGACCAGGAATTGAACCTGCGACCTTTTGATGTACTGGATAATGCTCCAACCAACCGAGCCACCTGGCCAGGACTCTATTTTCCTCTTAATAAGCCCTTAGTCTGCTTGTGCAGATCTGCTTCTGATCCTGGTCAGCATCTAAAAGCCTCAGGGCAAGCAACAATTCCTGGGGACTCCATACACCACAGGTGACACCTGAACATATGTGGTCTCTGTCCTCACTCTCCTAGACCTGCCACATGTGGGGAATGCCTGCATTTGTGGCCACTTCAGCCATTACACATTTTACGTTACATATGTGCTGAGGGTACCTGATCTTTTTTCCACTCTGAGCCCTCTCCTTGGAGGACAACACAGCATAAAAGTTGTCACTTGTCCCTGGAAAGCCCATCCCAGAAGCCAGGTTGGCGGTCCCAGGATATTTATCCTGCTCAGCTGACTGATTCTGACCCTAGTCCTTCTCCAGCACTGTCCCTGGTAGAGTGGAGTGCGCGTGACTGACTCATGCCAGGGTCTGGTCTGAAAAGTCTGGGCCTCCCTCCCAGCTCTCCCCTCTGTGGCCCTCCCACATGAATACTCTGCAAAGAGCCAGCAGTTGCTCTGCAAGAAAGTGCTTCTTCCACCGATGCATTCAGCACACATGCACTGAGTGCCTATTTTATGCTGTGTTCTCTTCTCGTACCTAGGGGGCAAGGACCCTGCCCAAGGGAGCTGCCCTTTTTGAGGGGCTTCTTAAGTTCCTCTCACTCCACTTCCCCAACTATTCTTTTGGAACCACCCACCCCCCAGCCAAAGCCCCTCACTAGCTTCTAGTACTTCTCAATTCAGAGGTTTGAAGAAGGATTAGGAGAGCCAAGAGGACCAGGCCCTGAGGCTGCCTGGCTCAGCCAGCATGAGCAGCCCCTCCAGACCCTGTGGTTTGCAGGCAGATCTCTCCTGTCTTCTGTGCAGCCACAGCCTGAGATTCTGCACTGACTTACAGAACGGCCATGCAGATTGAAGCCTTAGGTCTGCTGAGGGTTCACATGTTTAAACCTCTCAGGAAGTGCCTTTGCTTGTGTAAAAAATGATTATAATTATAAACATCGCATTGCTGCAAAGACACCGTAAATAAATGTGTGCTGCAGGTCTGAGCACATTCACTGGCACATGGAAGGGGCTCTGAAAATGATAGGTCATGCCCTTTGTAAGTGCTGATTAAATAAAGATGCTTGTCTTCTGAAAAGATGAGTGAAATTAGTTGAACTGAACACTTGGTTTGGTACTGCAATCATGATTGACGGGACAGTTGCCTATATATCTTAGTTGCCCCTTGTGTCACCTTCTGAGGAAGGCAGGACATGCGTTCTCATCCCAGTTTTGGAGATGGGCAAACTCGGATGTAGGGAGATTAAATTGCAATATCATGTAGGTGGTGAATGTCAAAGTCTCAACTAGACTTCAGATTTTTAAATTTCTGCTAACTGGCCTTAACCTAAGTGATAGTGTCCAATAACTTATACAGCACCTTATAAGAAGTGTTTTACGGAGATATTTTATTAATTGTTAAAACAATTTATGAGCTAGATAGTATAATATCTTATAGGTGAGGAAACTGAAGACAGAGAATTTAGGTGATTTCTCTAAGGTCACACAGCCAGGAAGTCACTAGTGTCAGAACTTGAACCCATGACTTCTGACTGCTCTGCCATTGAAGAAGAGTGGAGCTCCCTTGCTAGTGTCCCTGGCCCTCTTTCTAGGTCTCCTGACAGCCACCCTACCCAATCCGGTCATTGCCTGCAATGGCCAAGCTCTCTCCCTGTGACCCAGGTCTACATTCTTCTAATACTTGCTAACTAAATAGAAGTTTGTTTGTTTTGGGCTAAAATCACATTACATCAGGCAGTATGGGAACATGGTTATTTTGTGCTGATCAAATAAATGGTCACATTGGTCGGTATATGTCTAATTTTTTTTAAATATGGAGATACCAATTAGTTTAATAAATGAGTCTCTGTATGTAAAATCTTACAAGTCATTGTGTAATCATGGTAAGAAAGTTTGCATGAAAGGGATGGAAAAATTAATAGGAAAACAGTGAGTTATTGGTTTATTCTCATGCTCTATCTTACTGGACACAATAAGTATTTTCTTTCTCCTTGTACCCCAGCTCTTGGTAGAACAATATGGAGCCCAAGGAGATGGGGGTGCTGAGGCAACTTTAGTTCCCAAATAGAGATATACAGATAAGAAAAAAATTGGTAAATCTCTAGGTTTGCATTTTTCCCACCTTTTGTTTTAACCTGGCTCTTAACTGAGAATCAGTGCTTCATGCAAAACCCACAAGGAAGAGCAGAGACCCTTTCAGTATGTTTGTGGCGGACCTCCCCGCATAGGCCACATTTTACTGCCACGTGGGTCAGGCTGAAGCAGGGGAGCTACAGTTGTCCCGCGCACTTCCTTTATTCCCCCTGAAGGATTTGGGGTCTTCATGGGTGCTGCTACCAGACACACTTTCCCCAGGAGTGCTTTCCTTGCGCTACGGCTAACATACTGCATTTGGATCTAGGTAGGCTCTGATGGTTAGAACAGTCAGGCACACCCAGGGCTGTGGAATGCAAGAGAGAGAATAAGATGTGTTGCTCTTTGAGAGAAAAGCCAAGTCCTCATTTAAGGTGCAAACAAACAAACAAAAAAAAAACCCCAGAAGACCCTAAGATTATGCACCAAGTGTCCTCACTGGGTAGGACGTCCTGTGCTTTCCCAGGCTCCCGTCCCTGGGCCCACGAGGCATTCACAGGCAACGAAGCTGGGGACCCAGACAGCCTGTGCCTCCAAGACCCAGAATTGTTGCAAATAAGGTCATCTGTTTCTCTTGGTGTTTGCCCAAGCGCTGGGGCTGAAATAATTTCCATTCACTGAATAATGATTTATTGAAAGCTAAGAAAATGTGGAAGGGAAAGCAGGGCCCTTTGATCTCTGTTTTTTTGCTGCCTGGGCAAGGGAAGGATCAAGTTTTTAAACATATCAATGACTAACCTCTGGTTGATCTTGTCTTTAAAAATAGTAAAGGTTCTGGTAAATATGGGGAGGGCTCAGGGGTGAGGGGGAGTGCAAGAGCTGGGGAAGCAGGTGCTTTCTGTTGGAAACAGGTAGTTCATCACAGGCCATGCTAGAGACTCTAATGTTATTGTTATTGTTGTTAACTATTATATATAGTATATTGTCATGTGCTATAATAATATCCAAAGTTATTAGTATTGTTCCAGAACAGCTGGGAGGTAAAAGAATCCTCTCGTAGTTGGGCAAGTTTAGGGTGTATGGGGTAGATGGGGCTGTAGACCTGGGTTTGAGGAGAGAGAGTGGCCAGCAGCCCTTGCTACTGCATCCAAAGTGGAACGAAGGCCAGGTTTAATCTGGGCCTGCTATGGAGCCCCTCTGAAGGCAAGGAGGCCCCCAGCAGGAGGGTTATGTAGTTGGTGGGGATGATTCTATGGTTCCCAAGGGGTTGGCCATTTGGCGAAGCCCTCAGCTGGAGATTAGTGGTAGAGAGACCTAACCTCACTGTCAAGAATGGGCTTACCCTGCAGTGTGCAGGGGAGGTGCTAAATCCAGCCCCCAGACCCATCCCAGCCCATAGCATCAGCCCAGCCTGTACAGTTTTCACTCCTTCCTTTGAGAATCAAGCCTGACAGTGGGGGGCCTTGGGTGGTCCTTGCAAAGGTGATGTCATGGGCTTGGGCAGTAGGAGTTTCTCTAGATTTAAAATGTTCCTCTGGATTTAAAATGTATCAGAAAGTAGGCTGCAAAAGAGTATCGGTAGGGTAACCATGTAACTTATTGTCTAAGTCGGGGTGCTTTTGAGAGTGAAAGGCAGCATTATAACTAATTATGCCAGGGGAAAAGAGCAATAAATCAGAACCATCCGGGGCAAACCGGTCTGTATCCTCACCGTAGTGTTCAGACAAAATCTGGTACGTCGTTGAAGATAAAATACCCTGTACTGGTAGCTGAGGTGGTGACTGAATGGCAGATGCCATTTGCTGTCCACTCCCTGGGTAGCTGCCCTGAGTCTCAAGAATCCTGCCCACGAGGTGAGCCAGTGTCAGCTCTTTGTAGGAGGTAGTCCCATAAGGTGGCACCCTGAGGGGCTTCAGCAGGCCTGGCTGTCACTGCCCTGAGCCCAAGGTCACATCCACAACGGGGACGACCTCTGCCATGTGACAGGGAGCCTTTGCGCTTGGGGATGTTTCAGCACATTTGTGATCCCCACCCCTACTGACAGCCACGGGCCCCCAGGTGGAGTGAGGCGCCTTGCACTGCGCCCGGACAGTGCTCTGTGTAGCATTGGTCACGGCGCAGGGCGGTTCACATCCTTCGGTCTCTTGGGCGGACAGGGCTGCGTGCCCAGCGCTGGCTCGGGACTGTCCGCGGAACCGCAGTCCTTGCTGCCCTGAGCTCACTGTGCTTTCCTGGCCATTGCAGGTGGACAGCCAAACCGAGGAGAATAATGACATGAACAAACGGAGGCGGAAAGGCTTCAACAACCTGGATGAGGTTTGTGTGCACAGCGTCAGTTTAAACGAAGGCCCGTGGCCTGACAGCCGGTGGCCACAGGTCTGCCCGGCTGTGGCAGCAGCCCTGGCCCTCCTTGCTTTCCTCCCTCAGGAGCCACTCAGTTCCAAGCCTGACGTGATGGAAAAACAGTCAGGTTCTTGTCCTTGCTCCACTCACTTACTAGCTATGTCACCTTGAGAAACAGCACCTCCCAGGGTGGGGTTCATGTCTATAAAATACGAATGATACCTTCGAAATGTATGAAACCTGGCAGGATTTTCACAGATTAAATGTTATATAACATGCTGGGCATAAGTGGCACCTATATTAATCAATAGGTAATCACTATTAATAATGAGTTGTAAAGAGGCACCAGCTATCCCACTTTTCTCCTCATCATTGTTTCTACCTTTTTTGTTTTCTGTACTTTTAATTCTCGACAATGTCCCAGGGCCTACAAGTGCCACCTTCTGGTGACAGAAGGAAGTGACAGGCTACTTTGTCAAAACCAAGCACGAATTTCTCTCCTGCTACTGAAAAATTGATCAGCAGAAAAAGAGAGAGTATCAGTTCCACTTCCCCAGGCAGCTCTTTAAAGAGGCCTGAGAGATGCCCTGCACTTGAAGAGGCCGCCCAAGGCCCCAAAAGCAGGCCCAGATATTGTCAGTGACCTGTAGGGCGCCAGCTTGATGTCATAATTATGACAGAAGCAGGTGGGGTAGTCTGTTTTGCATAATGCATTGATACCTGAGTTACAGGACTTAGAAAAGACTTCCATCTTTTATGGTTGAAGAGGTTTTATTGCTGTCTATTTTTATGACATTGTTGTTCATGTCTGTGACTGACTTCATGTGGAAACCTTGACTGGAGTCAGGCTACTGATTCTTGCAGTGGAACTTTCTAACAATTGGAGCCACCTAAGGCTGCTCTGAGGGAGAGGGCAGCTGCCAGTTGCTCAACCCATTTTCTGGGATGCTCAAAGGGAGGTGCTGATAGAAAAAAAAGAAAAAAAGGCTGGAGTTCTATTCATGTCTTAAAATGAGCACAAACTCATTTTCTCTGATGAGTTGCACTCACCCTTGTTGGACCCTTTTCTGGAACTTCTTTGGGTGATCCCTTCAAGAGCTGTTGCTTCCCTATCTCTTGGCTCTGGTGGGAGTCAGAAGGCAGAGAATAGGGAGATATTGATGATTGAGGGGAGGAAGCAGTGTCTGAATAACAGGGCAGGAGAGATGCCCCACTTTGCCCGTGACGGGCATTGGCACTCGCCATATGTGCCTGTGATTTGCTCTGAACTCCACTCAGGAGCGTCCTGTGCACACACTTTGTCTCAGGGGAAAGTCTTCCCTTGCCTTTCACTTGGGGCTTATTTGAGGGGGTGTTTGTCCTCTTTCTGTTGATGGCTGCACAGTAGCGGAGTGTGGGAAGAAATCTGGTTGCACCTGACCCTTCTGACATGGCTCTGGGCTGTTTTCTGGGCCAGCTATTTTGCTTCCAAGTCAGATTTAACCAAAGTGGCAGCACTGTCATCATTTGGCAGCTGTCTCAGGGCCCACCCCCAACCAACGGAACCCAAGTCTGCTTCTGAAGGAGCCCCTGGTGATTCATGTCTGGGAAGTGCTGTCTGCATGACCCACTGTCCTGGCCAACTTCGGCCTTGTGCAAACAGTGGCCGCCCCTGTGAACCCGCCCTCTTCGCACTCAAGACTGTATTGCGGAGCAGAGTTGCATTTCCCACTTTGAAGTGGTGAGTGACTCTGGCTTGTGTTTGTCCAATACTTCAGAGTCGTTGTGCACACAAGGTTTCCCATGCGACCGCTGCTCTTAGGGATATTTAAACAAAAAAAAAAAAATTGACTATAGCTTTCTGCTTCCCATGCATTTCTTCTCAGTGAGCACATCTTTCTTTTCTTGAGAATGTCTGCTTCTGTCAGGGAGATTCATCATCTCCTGGGGAAAGCAGGCTGCCTGCCCAACACGGCAGTGCCATTTACACTTCGAGGCCTGGGGGGCAGGTCCTATGGAAAGGGGCAACAGACACTCCATGACCACTGGTCATCTTCCAGTTTTACTTTTAGCAGATGAGCTAAAGAAACCTTACATGGAACTCTATTTTATAAAGCAGCATAAACAAGTGATCACAGCCAACATCACCCCAGTCATTAGGCACATTGGTACCATATCCCCTGATACAAAGCAATGAGAAGAGCACCCCACCTCTGTGGCGTCCTTCTCTAAAATCCATAACCCCAGTCTGAGCATGAGAAAGCATCACGTAACACAGACTAAGGGACTTTGCATACAGTAGCTGACCAGTCCCTTTCAAAACTGTCAAAGTCATAAAAGACAAAGGAAGATGGAGAGACTGTTACAGAGGGGAGGAAACCAAAGAGAAATAATGACGTAATTCAATGTAGGATCCTGGGTTGTATCCTGGAACCAAAAAAGGACAAATACAGAAAAACTGGTGTAATCCAAATCAAGTCTATAGTTAATAGTATTATGCCAGTTGTGATAACAGTATCATGATTACTCCAGATGTTAACATTATAGGCCGCTGGGTGAAGGTTTTGCAGGAGCCGTCTGTGCTATCTTTGTAACTTTTCTGTAAATCTAAAAGCACTTCAAAATTGAAAGTTGTTTTTCAAAGATAGCAACAATAGAGCCTGGCCAGTTGAAGTTGGGAGTGGGGTGCAGAGGAGAAAGGAGAAGGAAGCCCAGAGCCTGTGGCTGACGACCTCCCTTCTTTTTCCTTTCACCGCCCCCACACCTACTGTTCACCTCTTGGAAGCCACAGGATGTATTTTGAAAAGAGTTGTGCTCACCACCTCTTTACTGTATTTGATTTTATTTTGCAACAACCATGTGAAGTGGGTCACGCGCTCCCACTTTACAGATGCAGAAACTTCAGGGAGGTCGATTGCCAAGGTCACTGGGTTGGGAAGTGAGAGTCAGGATCCAAACCCTAATGCTCCAGCTCCCAAGCCCAGGTGTGCCCACCTTTGGGACGGCACATCCCTCCTGAGGGCGTTGTCTCCATTTGGGCATCCCCTGCTGTCTGTCTCACTTCCTCAGACCACAGAGGGTCTCCTTCTTCAGGACGTTAGTCCCCATCCTCAGACCCCAGGCCCCCTCCCTGATATCTGGGTTCCGGGGCCCAACAACCAATGCACTAATCTGGCTTTGCAGCCGTCCGCCTTTTCCAGCCGGAGTTTGGGCTCCAGTCAAGAGGGCAGCAGTAAAGAAGGTGGCAATCAGAACAAAGTCAAGTCCATGGCAAGTCAGCTGCTGGCCAAGTTTGAGGAGAGCTCTCGGAACCCTTCACTCCTGAAGCAGGTGAGTCCCATCATATGCCCCCCGAACCTGCCTCCTTGGTGATCGGAACTGAGAAGCCTGAAGAAATGTTCAGGCTAGTGATGGATGTCAGGTATGCCAGCCAGGCCTGGCTCAGGTGAGCCCTCTCCTAGACCAGCAGTCAGCAGAGGTTCCTAAAAGGGGCCAGGTGGCTACAACTTTAGCCTTCGGGGGCCATCTGATCTCTCTTGCAACTACTCAACTCTGCCATTGTAACAAGAAAGCAGCCATAGATAATATGTAAACAAATACGCATGGCTGTGTTCCAATAAAACTTTATTTACAAAACAGGCAGCAGGCCAGATTTGGCCCAAGAACTGTAGTTTGTCAGCTTGTTCTGCCTTAGAGAAGAAATCCTTGCCCTAATTATGTTTTACTTTACAACCATGACTCGGTTGGCATCCATCTATGAGATGGTGCAGCAGGGGGAAGCTTTGGAGGTGCTGGCTGCCTGGGAGAGCACTGAGTTCATGGTGAGAAGCCCCGTCCAAACAAGGGGAAACTGAGTCATGGGTCTTCACTCCATGTGGGCCTGCAGGAATGGGGGTCAACGCCCCGAGTGCTGTCATGCGCCTTCTCCACGTTCCCTCAGACCAGGTGGCAGGGCTGTGTGTCTGACCAGGGTCGGGGTGCGTCTGCCGGCGGTCAAAGCTGTGGTCAGGCGGCAAACTGAACTGACTTCTCCCTCTGGCTGGAGATCTGTGCTGCATGGTTCGCTTTGCGGCCCTTAATTCCTCGGGGATGCCACTGTCATGTTACCAAAGCTGGGGACAAGGGGGTTGTTTTTTGTTTGGAGAACACCTGTCACATGACAAAATTAGGTTTCTCTCAGCAGGATGACAGACTTGAGGTTAATTAGGTTTTTAGAGGAGGTCACAGATGCCTTCCTGGTCCTCATGTGAACCGTGCCTCTTCCAGGGGGGAAAAAATGACCTTCCCCTGGAGACCAAGTTTTATTCTAAGAAGATCATTTTCCTGAGACTTGTTACTCTGAATTTTTTCTCAGTCACCCCTCTGGAGGCCTGGTCCCTTGCAGCCCCCAAGTGTTGCTGGGGGATGGTAGCATCCCGGCCTCTGGTGGCAGGAAGCTTTTCTGTTTCCAGGAGGACTCTGGGGCTGGCCACCCTGGCCTGGCATGGGCCCTGGCAGTGCCTGTCCAGGGCCCCGGGTCTGAGCCAACAGCAAGGCCTCCCTGAATTCACACGTTGTCCCAGAGGAGGGGACTCCGGGACTTGCTCTTCACATGGGCAGAGAGCCAGGGTTCAGGTTTCCTGGCGGGGCCCAGCCTGAGCTCAGCCCAGGGTGCGCGCGCTCTCTTTCTCCCCGTCTCTCTCTCTACCTGAAAACTCTCGCTCCCGGACTCTTGCTCTCCTCCCTCCAAGTGTCTCAGTCTGACTCAGCCTTTTCCTTCATGTTTCCTGTGGCTGCTTTTGGGACTCACCTTCTTCCTCCCAGGAACGCTGCCGCTCGGGGATAGGTAAGCCTGTCCTACGCTCGTCCTCTGACCCTCCTGTTAATTCTCGCTGTCTCAAGCCAGAAGAGCCCCCAACCAGCCCGCCACCTCCTCTGAAAAGGCAGGTAGGGCTCCTTCCAGTGGATGGGGTCTTGGTGAAGCCAGAGGGGATTTGGATGCAGAGGGGTGAGCTCTGCTGGCCCCCTGCATCCCCCCAGGAGGGCTAATTGTAAATTCTCTGGGAAGGCAGACATGACTTGAGGTCCCCACCCTTAGAGGTAAGAATAACCAAATATGCAGCATCTTGAAATACATGCCATTGATCCTTCAGGCAGTCAGGGGCATGGAATGACCAACTGCTGTGTGCCTGGTACTCTGTTTGGGGGAAAAACAGACCACACCACAAGGTGTGTGGTCTATTTTGTCTGATGCCCCTGGAACATACAGCTTTAGTTGCAGAGCACTTAAATAGACTGATTTCTAAACTGATGACAAAGTGGCAATGATGGTAATATGGGCTTAGGTGGCCGGCTGGCCTCATGCATCTAAGGGGTAAGGCTAGATAGGATGTGGTGCAGGCCTCCCTGGGTGACTGCATAGGTGAGGACCTGCTTGGTGTGCACAGAGGCAGCTGGCAGCCATGTGTGACTTTTTCCAGCTTACATCCCTGGGTTTGGAATTTGAACAGAGTCCTTGTTACTGACCACAGCATTCAAAGATGTCTGGTCAGCATGAGAAATTTTGCATTGCTTCTGGGCAGTGGAGGTTGAATGAGGTCGGTGTGGATGTAAAGCAGAGATTTTGTCTGAGTGTATAAGAATTACCTAAAGAGCAATTTTTTTCAATTAAAAAAATAGATGTTCAAAAAAAAAATACTAATATCTGGTGCTCACCTCAAGACCAATTAAATTAGAATCTCTGAAAGTCAGGCCCAGTCTTGGGTTGTTCACTGAAAGTGCCCCACGGGACTTCAGCGCGCATCTAGGATAGAACCAGAGTCACACAGGTTTGATTTGGTGGGTGTGGAGGGAGGCCCAAGACTAACGTTAAAGAGGATGTCATAGTTATGTAGGGCTATTAACCAATGTTATCCCAATACATTAATTTTTTAGAGACTATTTTTCCCCACTTAATTTTCTTTGTTTTATTTTATTTATTTTTTAGAGAGGGGAAGGGAGGGAGAAAGAGGAACATCAACGTGCAAGAAAAACATCGACTGCTTACCTCTCGCATGCCCCCACCTGGGGACCTGGCCTATAACCTAGGCATGTGCCCTGACTGGGAATTGAACTGGAAACCTTTTGGTTTGCAGGCCGGCACCCAACCAACTGAGCCATACCAGCCAGGGCCAAGAAATTTAATTTAAAAAGAAAATATTTTTACAATTAAAAATAAATAAATAAATAAATAAATAAAAGGCAGTGCCAGGTGATTCTGACACAAGTGGTAGAACATCAACGCCTGAGGTTTATTTGGAATCTCACTCAAGGTGGCACCCAGTGCGCCCTTGGCCGCCGGTCCTCGTGAGGGTTCCTCATGTTCTGGGGGGTGCGCTATGAAAGGGCCATAGTAGGAAAGGAAGCTTGATTTTCCTTCTCCCCAGTTCCCCTCGGTGGTTGTGACGGGGCATGTGCTCCGAGAGATAAACCAAGTGTCTGCTGGTGGAGAGTGCCCGAGCCGGCCCTGGAGAGCCAGAGCCAAGTCTGACCTGCAGCTGGGTGGGCCAGAAAACCGCGCTGCCCCGCCTCTCACCTGCCAGGGAGCGCTGGCCCTCTCCGGGGTCCTGCGGAGGCTGCAGCTAGTGGAGGAAAAGATTCTGCAGGTGAAAGCCTCGCCCTTTGCCCTGCCTCTGCCTGTGTCTGGCGCCATCTACGCCCGCGCTTCCTCTGCCTGCCTGGGCTGGGTTCCTCCTCTGACTGTTGTGCTGCCCTGCCCCCTGCCTGCTGTGGGGGAGAATGAGGCATGCCTGCCCGACTGCCTCCCTCCTCCCGCCATCCCACTCTCTGTCACTATCTCTTTTTTTCTTTCTCCTTTCTTGCTTTGGCTGCAGAAGAGGGCTCAGAACCTGGCCAACAGGGAATTTCACAAAAAGAACATTAAGGAGAAGGCGGCTCACCTTGCCTCCATGTTTGGACATGGGGATTTCCCGAAGGTAAAAGGGGCTTTCGGAGCCCCCCAGGGACCCGGGCGTTGGACATCCAGGGACGTGACCATGAATCCGCCTCTGGAGCTCCGTTTCCTTCTTCCTCCTGCTTTTATAGCATGAGGCACGATTCATTTTTCAAACTGCTAAAAGAATTCAAGCTGCCGTCTTAAAATGGTGCAAATGAGGGCATTCCAAGTAAATAGATAAAGCAGGACAAAGAGAAAGCCAAGGCAGAAAAGTGAGCTCAGAGCAAAGGGAGACGTTACTGAACAGAAACTTAGGCCGTTAGATCCCAAACAGCTTCTGACTGGGCTCTGAGCTTCCTCGGAGCTGGTCAGTTGCAAAAATTACATCACAGTGCCTTTAAGGAGAAAGCAAACCAGTTGATCGTGATGTTTTGGGGCATAATGGAGAAATCTTCCTGTGACCTTGACCAGGGAAACACTGAGGAGGAGGTCAACCAGATGCCCTAACCTTGGCCCTGCATGGAGCCAAGAATGGCTTTGCCTTAGAATACAAAGTACAGATGCTCATTTAGAAACTTGCTACAAAGAAGAGCATGTGCTGGCAAGGAGATGAAAGGATCACTATGAGGTCCCACGGTGTGCGTATGTGGAAGGCACTCTCTTGCATCAAACCTGGTCTTTAGAACATAACTTGCCCTGATGCTTTCACTCAGTCTCCTCCAGACGTATGGCGTCTGCAACTCAGCAGTGTCACTGATGCGGGAAGGAGGCTTTGCATTTATTTAGTTCATTTTTAGCTGCTGGGGGGCTGGCACAGCTGTCTGCAGCTGCAGAGGCCCCTGACGGGGTCATCTGCCCCAAAGGAGCCCAGGATTCTCCTTTCCTAAGCTTGCACCTGCCACTTTACACCAAGCTCCAGAGTCAGGGCTCCCAGGACTTAGCACTGGTGTCTGTGGCAGCCATACGGCAAGAACAGGATAGGCCTATAACACACTGAAACGCTCGTTAGAGTGTGACAAGGGAATTGGAGTGGTCGTAGTAGATCATCTAACCAGAAGCCGGACGGTCCCGCTGAGCTTCAAAGACAGAGGCTTCTGTTTTGCCCTGAGAAGCAGACCTGGGTGTCTTTGCCCCTCCTGGAGTGTGTAGGCATGGGGTTGCTTTGAGGCGAGCATCACTGTGCCTTTCCTGGGGATAATCACAGTTTCTTCTGTTTCTATTCTGTACAGAATAAGTTACTCTCTAAAGACCTGTCTCATACTCATCCTCCGTCTCCTCCCTCCTGCCTTCCATCTCCTGATCCAGCTGCCACTTCCTCTCCATCGACTGTTGACTCTGTTTCTCCTGCCAGAAAGGTAGTTGTCCCAAACAATTCGCTCCCCCGACTCCCTGCATGTTCTGAGGTGTCTCCCTGCTCTGCTTGACCAGCACAGACAAATATCAAGAGCTTGGCTTGGCTGAGATGGAAATTTGTAAGATACTTCACAACCGTCCTGGATTTGGTTTTGTTTTTGTTGTTGGACCCAGCAACTTAGTGGAACAGGCAGCACACACAAACTTGTCTAACATTGCTCGTTCACCCAGCAAGCATTTGTCGGGTGCCCGCCGAATGCCAGCCACTGTGCCACATGCTGAGGTTTTCTTACTACAGTTTAGACGGCAAACAGCACAATAGAGTAGAAATAAGTCACTTTTCACTGTATGAAGTTGCCAGTGTTTGGCTTTTTTTGACCTAATGATACGGCAGTTTCACATGGTGAACCTCCTACAGTACTATCCGTTAATTCTATGAGAGACATAAAGGCAAGATTGTAGGAACCCAGAAGGAGGAAGCCAGAGGAATCACAGAGGAAGGAATAGGGGACTGAGTGTTGAAGGCTGTACAGGAGGATCTGCTGGGGAAAGTGGAGGGCGAGGGTACTTTAAAAAGGGTCCAGCATGTGCAAAGGAAGGCAGACAGGGCTTGCATGATTGGAAGGTCAGAATTCTGGAGTGACTTGAACTTGGGGGCCAAAGTCTTCATGGGGGTGCAGGGAGTGAGGGTGAACGTGAGCTCACTCTTTTCGTGTTAAGGAATTTCATTCTGGCTTCTTTCAAAGAGCCCCTGCAGGCTCTTCTCTGTGTTCTAGAAGCATGTCCTGGGGAGGAGTGCAGAGCTTGGCAGGGAGGGAGGGAGGGAGGGGCTGGGAGCTAACCCTGCTTAAGTTGATACTGAAATGCGTCAGGAACAATTAGGAAGTTTGGGTTCTCGGACACTTTTTTTGTTTTCCCTCGTCCTCCTATTACCAGCTGAGAACGCCACCCGGCGGGGGAGGGAGCGCAGCAGCCCCTGAGAAGCTTGGCCCCTGGGACATATGAGCCTAAAAATGGATGGGAAGCCCCCTTCTTCAGCTGCTGCATGTGGGAGTAGGTGTGGAATCCGTTCCGCGCAGATTGTGCTCCTCTGAACACATTCAATTTGTCCAGCTGCCGCCTGGGCTCAGTTTGGTGGGTGGTACGGAGGCTCCCCCTTGTCACAGTTACTACTCATTAGCTTCCGTGCTATTAGGCTGACGCACACACCGGCTCCCTGCTCTTAACATCAGTAGGGAATTAGGAGTTGCCTCCTTGTGTGTAGCTGGGGGTTCCATGCCCTTTGACACCCACCTCTGTGGGAAATGGTGCAGGTAGGGACCTCTTCCCAGGTCCCCAACGTGGTGTGACACATCCCTGGCAGGGCAGCAGGAGGTAACACAGAGAAACCAAACTCTTTCTGTTTTCAAGTCCACTGAAAATAGCCAAGGCTGAGAGGCCCGCAGCTGGTCCCAGGTCAGCCCTCGGTTGGTGTCCTGACCCGTCTGGGCCCCCATTTTTTCATTAACAAAAGAATGATTCTGGCTCACGTGATAGCCATATAGGTGGAGACTGGCGTTTTTGTCATCACTCCCTCTAAAAGGCTTCCAAGTAGCCTTTTGGCCCTTCCCTGGGGAGTACTCCCTGCTGTGGAAAAGGTCACTGTCGCCCTTGACAGGATGATAAAGGCGAGGGCACCTGGGCCCAGACAGGCAGTTCATGCTCCTGGCTGGGCAGTGGGCCCCCACCTTGCCTGTCTCGGGCCCAGCCTCTCTCTGGCTGGACCTGGTCAAGGCTCTCTCTTGCCCCTGCTTTTCTTTTGATCTCAGGACAGCCGGGCTGGGTCACTGCCCTGTCCGAGTTGAGAGCAGAGCCACCACACTTGCCAGCTTTCCCTGGTGAGGCTTCCAAGCAGGTATTAGTTCTCTAGGTGACGGCCCAAGGCAGCCTCGCTGGGTGCGTGTGGGGCCTCCAGGGTCTGACAGCCTGTTCTGGTCAGTGGGCATGTCTCCTGTTGCAGCATCATCGCACGTCATCACAGGAGGCCCTGCCCGCCGCTTCTCCAATGGGCCCTTGAAACAGCTTTACACCAGTGTCACTCTTTAGGCCACTGAGTAGACATTCATTCATTTGACAAATATTTGTTGAATGACAGCTTGGTGTCAGGCATTTCAGGCTCCTGGGATGTGCATCTGTGAACAGGAGACATGTTCCTGCCCTGATAAGGCTCACCTCCTAGTGCGGGGAAGTCAGCAACCAACACTCATGTGATACAGAAGTAAGTTATGGCATAGGTCAGGAGATAAGACGATCTTTCCATGGAAAAATTAGCGGATAGCAGGGACTTGGTGTAGAAGAGAAAGAGAGCAATGTCATGAGGTAATGGGAGGTTCTTCCTGGGAAAGCGGGACCTGAGCGGGGGCAGAGCCACAGAAAAGAAAGCGAAGAGGCAGGGAGGAGACTAGTGCCCAGGGCTCCGGACCCCAGCCCGGTGTTTCCTTCTCCGTCCCACGGAGGCCAAGTGCAAATGGAGGCTCCTCTGAAGGAGCAGCCCGGGGCTGTGTCCGTGCAGAGCACGGGGCGCACGGGGCGCACAGGGCCCCATGCCCGGACCCAGGGGCGGCTGCCAGTGGGGTGGGCTTTGGGGTGGCCACCGCCTCTACAGCTTCGTTCCTTGTTTCTCCCAGGTTGTGCTAGAATACTCGCCCCCCGTTTTTCCTTATCCCATCTCCATAGCCAACTTCGGCCATCAAATGATGGTATAATCGGGCTTTTTAAATAGCTTCCACACTGATGTGCCTTCCACAGTGTGCCTGGGAATGATCGGGGAGCTCTTAGAAAGGGCCACCCTGGGACACTGGGCAAGTCACTTACCCTCTCTGTGCTTTCATTTCTCCATGTATAAAAAGGACCAAGGTTGGACTTCACACCCACAGATCCCTCCAGATCTCATTGTGAAGCCATTGTAGGCAGTTAGGGATGGAGTGGTGAGTTTCTTGGAGAAGATATTACCAGCTTCCCTGCCCCTACTGCCCAAGTTCCCTCCCTCCCGTGACCACAGCGTACCCTTGATTCAGCTATGCACAGGCAGAACCTCCTCTGAGTAACGGCCTTCTCTGAGAAGAGAATTGGCTGCCCCTTAAAGTAGGTAACAACTTGGGGACAAACAACTTCATTTGGTTTTGGTGGAGCTCAGGGAGCCTCCCCCCTCCCCCGCCCCCGGAGAGAGTCTGGGCCCTTAAGAGTTCTTTTCAACAGAGTAGGGGCTGCCCACATTGCCCAGTGACTGAAGTTCGCCTCAGGTCAGGGGAACCAGAGGAAGGAAAGTGCATTTGGGTGCTGATGCTTGGTCCTCGGCAACCTGCGGGCAGGCGACGTGTGTCTGTTCCTACCCTGGAGCCCACACTGTAACTCTGAGGATCCAGGGAACTGACCGCCACACTTGCCGTGAGGAGCACGTGTTACTCGCAGGGACAAAAACTTGCGTCACTGACTCTGCCTTCAGACTACACTTGCTCACCCTCTCAGACTGATGTTCTGCCTTAAATTTCGGAGTAATTCTGCCGTTTGTTTGTTTGTTTTGGTGTGAGCAGTTACAGAGAACCTTGAGGTCTTCTCCTTTATGTCCCAGACCCTTACCCCAGAGTCTTGTCTTTCAAGACCTTAGACTATGGAATCATGTCCTGTCTTATGTCCTCTGCACCATCTGACTCATCCATCCCATCAAATCAGGCTACCCTAGTGGTATCAGCCCCCTATCATTCATTAGTTAACTTCTTTATTTGAGAAGACAGGCCACAGCTCATTTGACTTCTGCCCTAGCTGCTAGCCATTTGCCAAGACTGAGTGTTTGCACAGCTGAGCAAGAGGGATGGACTCACTGGGCTGGGGACTGTGGTTTAGGGTCAGAAGAGCAATGTGCAGTGCAAAAGGAGCTTTCTCTGCCCTTGCAGGTTGTTTGTTTTAAAACTGGATTTGCAGGGTTTACTCTAGAGATTTGCATATTAGAGAGAAGCTGGGCAATCTTGGGTGGCCATCCACCTTTGTTCCATCTGATACAGGGTAGGTCTCAAGGCTGCCTCCAACCTCATTGGCCCGTTTGTCCCAGGGATAGAGCTAGGCAGCCCTTTGGACGTGTCCAATGAGCACTCCAGCCTGGGGGTTTTAATGTGCAGAGCGCTGGTGGGTCTCAGGAAGACAGGGTGCTGAAAGGAGAAGGATATGGGCTTGGAGTCAGAGCACCGATTACTGTGTAACCTTGGACAAGTCCGTGGCCCTCTCAGTGCCATAGTTTTCTAGCCTGTAGAGCACAGGGTGACTGGAATAATGCAATGCCTAGCCTGTGTCTCAAATGCCTGAATTATCCAGTAAATGTGCTCTTTCTCCAGTGGAGGAGAAGTCTAGAAGAAGGCTCATTTACCTAAAATGCATGCTGATTCCTCTCTTTCTAAAGGCAAAGAAGTCACCTTCAGGTTTCCATTTCCATCCCAGCCACTTAGAAATAGTGAGACCTCCAGTGAGTTAGGGACTCCCTGGACCTCAGCTGCCCCCGGCTGTGAAGGGAGATTATAAGACCCGCCTCGCAGGCCATGGGGGTTAAATGCATGTGATGAATAGCCTGGCACTAGGGGACAAGGGTGCAGATATGGGCTCCCCTTTGTTGGGGGTGAGGGGTGGGTCACAGACCCGAAGGCCTGCTTATGTGTCAGCTCTGAGCATGCAGTATCCAGACCCCTTCGAGCAAGGGGTTCTCAACCCTTGCCCTCCCTCTCCCTTCCCTGGGCATATGGCTGAGGACGCAGGTCCACCAGCCTGTTGTCACGACAGTGAGGACTGCCCCTGCTGAAGCAGGCCCAGGAGCGGCCCTCTGGCCCTGCCTGTGGAAACCTCCTTGTCTTGTGAGCCCCCAGTGCTGAGGCCCTGGAAGCTTCACTCTCCCCTCTGCCTGGCCCATGTGGGCTGTATGATACTCATAGCAGACCAGGTGGCTGCAGGTGGCCCAGCTCTGTAGAGAAGCACGGCCTGGACACCTGGTATTCTTGGCAGAGTTCCAGACCCGAGGTGGGAGGCATCAGCATTGTTTGGACACAAAAGGGCCCAGAAGCTTGCTTCCTCCTTCATTCAGAACATCAGCCCTCTGCCACGGGTGTAGAGGTACATAAGAGAGAGTCATGACATCAGGGAACGCCAGCCTAGGGGAGAGACAGGCCAGCTCAGAGCAAGGTCAGAAAGGCCCCCACAGCCAGGCAGAGACTATCACATCCCGAGCTGGGGGTAACAGGCTTGCCTCAGGCATGCCTCTTTGGGGAGGTCCAGACATCTTAGGCAACGTCTGGTGCTGGTGCTTGTTATATCACAACAGTGACATCATCATGTTAGAATCTGGATTGAGTAAAGCCAGGACGCTCATCCTGGGTGGGCCCCATTGTTCTTACTCGTGCAGAGGAGGAAACCCAAGCAACCAGGAGTTCTCCCCATGAAGGCCATCAGGCCATCCAGTGAGGAGAGGAGTCCCAGAGCACGGACACGTGAAGCTGCACCAACAGCGGTGCTTCGGCCTCATTGACCACCTGCTGAGGGCTCTTGGGAGCCCAGGGCCATCTGAGGCACAGCCCAGACTCTTTGGTGACCCTCTGTTGCAAGCCCTGCAAGGATGTTGGTGCCTCCCCATTTTACAGATGCAGAAGCTGAGGCTCATAGAGAGAAACAGTGTGTGTGAGGTTAATCCAACACAATGTGAGACGATGGGCTTCCTGAATTCTTTCGGCATTCCAGCATGCTCTAATCAGCTGAAAAATAATTAGAATTTACAATGGAGAAAAGGGAGTGAGAAGTAGCCCAATTCTGTAATTTTATGAGAATATTGAATGATACATACAGGGGTATGAAAAACCATCCCATGCCCCACAAAATTACCAATTCTTAAAAAACCGGTGACTGGGGTATGATCTTTTTTGGTCACATCATCAGATTGTACAACTTTGCATTTGACAAATTATTCCCAGCCACAAAAATTATTTGTGACTTGCCTTTCAGTGCATGGGTATCCTTGTTGAAAACTTCCAGATCTTACTCAGAGATCAATACCAGGCTGAGTTTTCTGGAAGCTTCCCTATGAGCATCTCTTTCTTTCTCAGGGTCTCGAGAGCCTGGTAATTTCCTTGTCAGCTACCGCGGCATGACCCCGGGCAGGTGCTGGTCTGTGATGCAATGAACACAGCAAATGAGAGGAAACATTAGACTCGGGTGACGCAATGTAGCATTGCCACACACCCAAGCATGTGATTGTGTTTCTGCTAATTCATTTTATTTGTATTCCAAAGTATCTGGCCACAAGGGATTAGAGCTTAAAAAGAAAACTGGCCATTGAAAGCACTGGGCTAGCCCAAGACCAGCTGGGCATGTGTGCACTCATGGAGCCAAAAAAGGTGACCTGCTCTCAGGAAACAGTAGATAACCTGTGATCCCTGCTTTAACATCCACCTTCATGCTGGTCTTTGGGGTGGGCTTCATGGACCCCCTTTCATCCCTTTAGTCAAGTTCTCCCTCACCTGGTCTCCTTGTGACCCCTCCAGGAAATCCCCATCCACCACTTGAGAGTGACCAGTGGTGATTCCGGGATGGTTTCTATCAGGCTGGGAAGGGTAGGTAGGAGACCCGGCGCTGTTCCTTCAGGAGGCTTTCATTCCATCATTCTTCAGAAAGCCACTGTCACAGAGTGGGGATGAGGATGCAACCCGGCGGGAGGAGCCTTTGGGGCCTATAATGAAAGACTAGGCATGGCCTGCATCCTGCATCCCCTGACCAGGTGACTGGACAGTGTCCTGTGCTCATGGAACAACTGAGCAGGCTCACAACTGCACAGGAATGTTTCGGTGACACCCCCCAGCAACCTCACAGCCCTTCGCAGGCTCCCTTAATTGTTCCCTAAGTCATGATTGTGCAGAAGCTCAGAGATACAAAATGCTTATTAGCTAAGTGGTTAATAAGGTCTCATTAGGGACTTGGCTGTAAAGCCCCAGAAAGTGCAGTCTTCATCCCTGCTAACTCAGGGGAGGCAGTAGTTGCATGTGGGCATCATGGCAGCCGCACCATGGTGCCTTTCCAGAGAAGCCAGTAGAGGTGGCCATGCAAGGGCAGTGGACAGGGAGGTAAATCTGACCGCCTCTCTTTATTTTGACATAAACCCAGGAGGCACTTAGTATGCTCTAGACCCCATCTGAGGGGCCTGCGTGGGGGGCCTTAGCAGGGGGCACCTTAGCTGAGGATGGGACATCAGACAAACAGTGGCCCATTGTCCTCAGCCAGTGTACCTGAACATTTCTTGAAAGCAGGAGCCAAGTTCCTTGGCATTTGTGAAACCCTGAAAATTGCAGAGTGTGCTTGAAAGCAGAACCCTAACGTCTCCCAGGCTGGGCCAGCTGGAGCGGGGGACGGGGACCTGGGGTGGAGAGCGGAGTACCAGCCTGGCAGCTGGAGGTCCCACCTGTCTGAGCCGTGGGATGGGGTGCCCGCAGCCGCATTCTCACAAACCGCCAGAACCACAGACATGGTCTGGAGTGATGGGTCCAAAGTAGCTGTTAGGCTGGGGTTACTTTCATGAGAAGGGGGCCGAGATCATTCTTCCAGCCTGTTTGGCTGCCCCTCCGATTTGTCCCCCTGTAGTGCCTGTGCTTTTGCTGGAATCCGATGAGCTGGTCTCCAGTTCTGAGGGCGGGCATCACTACAGGAGGTGGGGAGCTGTGGGAGCTATTGCCCTTTGTTTGGCTGTTCCCCGAACTTCCTGCTCTGTATTAGAGGCGTACTGTTCTGGGATTAGATGCGGTCTTTCAGAAGCAGTCTTGGGTTTAGATGTGAGCATTCCATTACCTCCACAAGGGTCCCTGTTATTTGTTCTCCCAGTGGCCATCAGCATGTGCCCAAGGGCCCTCCGCCTAAGTTGCAGCTCCCTCTGGCCACATCTCCCAGAAGCAGGATGCAGAGGCTGGGGGAAGCCCTGGAGTCTCCCTCGCTCCAGGGTCATGGGATCAGGGACATCATTTACAGAACCTCATACTGTGCATGTTGGGCGCCCTGCACCGGAGACTGCGGCATTCCTGGAGTGGCCTTGCAGAGCTGGTGGGGAAGGGGGGATCGGGCCGTGTTTGCTGGAGGGGGCGGCGTGTACGATTGTGCCACGGTTGCTTGGGCTGTCCGCTCTCATGGCCATCGTCAGGCGGTGGTCCCGGGGCCCATGTGGAATGGCTGCCTGCCTGCCTCGGGGCCGGCCTTGCCCAGCACTAGCCCTGGGGCCCTCTGGGCACTGCTGCCTGGAGCCTGCGGTGAAGCTCCTGATCCTGATCCCTCCTCCTGCCCAGCGGGGGCCGGCTTCACTCCCATTCCCGTCACTGCTTTCATCCGCAAGGGGGTGTGGGGTCCTGGCTTGGAGGGACTCTGGTCAGGCACAGCCATTGCTCCCTAAGGACACGGGAGCTGCCGGGCTGGCCGTGACCTGCCAAAATCAGAGGAAGAAGGGAGGGAGGAGTCAAGTTCATATTGGCCCAGCCTCTGCTAAGTGCCAGGCACTTTGATACATCTTCTCTAAGTCTTACCTGATATCCATGAGGCAGGCACAATTACCCCCATTTCATTAAACTTGAAAACTGAGCTCAGCGGTGGAGAGCTTTGTGCCCTGTCTCAGAACCAGCTCATGGCAACGAAGCATCCAAACCTTGCTCCCCATCCGTGGGGGCTCTGCGCTCACTAAGCTGCAGCTCACAGCTCTCCAACCAGGAGGGTCTCAGTAGGAGGGTGACTGTGGGTCAGCTGTCGGTCTGTGTCTGGGAGGTCTCGGTTCCTTAGCTCTTTGTCTCCTTTGCTCAGCCTCTGGCCCTCACGGGCTTTTGGAGGCTCTGGTGACACTGGTGCAAACATGCCTTTTTCTGGTGACCTGGCCAAGCAGCCCGAGTTGTCCCAGCCGCTGATGAGAAAGGCCATGGGGAGGTGTCTGTGTGGGGGTAGGGTCAAGAGATCGGAGCAGAGTCGTGAATCTTGTGTTTATTTGCTAAGTTGCCTTGGATTACTCTCTCTGGACTAATTCACCCCATCTGCACACTGAGAAACTCAGTGACTCCTGAAGGCCCTGCACCCCTGTGGGTGTAGTTCTACAGAGTCAGCTGGCTCTCTGAGGGTCACAGGATTCTGTTTCTGTCCTTTGCTCCATCCCCGGAGGGCCTGCTGTCCGCTCCTGGCTGGGTTTGCTTGTCGGGTACTGTTTGCATGGGGGTGTGGAGCCCTCTCCCACATCCAGCCTGTCTGCTTTCCTCCTCGGTGCTAACTGGCTTTACCTTTGTCTCTGTCTCCTCTACCTCTGCTCTTGGGTAGCTGACGGTAGGGAAAGTATCCAGCGGAATAGGGGCTGCAGCAGAAGTCCTGGTCAATCTGTACATGAATGATCACAGACCTAAGGCCCAGGCTACCTCTCCAGACCTGGTAAGAATGCACATCCCTCAGCTTCCTCCCACAGACTCCAGCTCTGGACTCCCAGGGAGGGCACGCAGGATGCCGAGGGCATGGCCTGGCCCTCTCTCAAGGTGCCCCTTCCCGTGGACAAGAGGGGCTGAGAATGGGCTGATCGGAGCAGAGTCAGAGGGAGGCTACAATTTCCTTAAAGACAAACCTCACTTGGCGACCTTGGGGGTTGTTTCACAAGACACAGGACCTTCCGGACTGTCTGGGGCTCTGGAGAACTCAGTGAAAATCCAGGCGAGGCCGTCCACACAGTCGGATATCCCTTACTGACAGTGTTTAGTGTCCAAACTAAGTAGCCCATTGCATTAGATTGAGAATTCAGTAATGGAAAAACATCCCTTTTCTTTGAATTCTTCCTTTCTCCAATCAAGGCCACTCACTGCTGTCACCAGCGACTTGAGTTGACAATTCCTTTTGGCACATTCCCCTACAATCACCCTGCCCCCCTTCCCCGCTCTCCCCTTGCATTTCGGAGTTTGCCTGGCAGCCCCGTGGGCTGTGGGACATGGCCTCTCCCTTTTCTGTAATTCTGTTGAATGGTTTTGATGCCACAAGCTGTCTGTGCCTTGCTTTCCTGACTTAAGTCACTGCAGGGGGACAAGGATGTAGAAAACATTCCTTCAGGGAGCTCACTCTATGTCCAGGCGACACTTAACCCCTGGGACAGGTTCCTGGAGAGGGTGTCACTGGCAGGCGTGTTTGTGAAAGGTGCCCACTCCATTCGGCCAGGAGACATCACTCCCACCCCGAAACCAGAGAAGCAAGCGAGGGGACAGCCCCCTGGGCCTGCCCGGCAGCTGGCCTGCCTGAGCATACAATTAACAGTAGCCCCTGCAGTTTGGGGGCCTGTGTTGGGAGCACGTCTTCCCACACTCACTCTTCGCTGCAGCGCCTGCGGTGACATGAACAGCAAACGGGAGCCCACGACGTCCCTGTGATTCAGGTCACAGCCTCTGAAAACCCAGGCCTCTCATTTGAAACTCAGTGTAAACCCCAACCCACTGCTCTTCTCTCCCGATGCCCTGTGCCCCCAGGAAACGATGCGAAAGGCATTCCCCCTGAACCTGGGTGGCAGCGACACCTGTTACTTCTGCAAGAAGCGTGTGTACGTGATGGAGCGGCTGAGTGCAGAGGGCCACTTCTTCCACCGAGAGTGTTTCCGCTGCAGCGTCTGTGCCACCACCTTGCGCCTGGCTGCCTACGCCTTTGACACCGATGAAGGTAACCACCGTCCCCCAAGGAAGTGCTGGTCTCTGACCTGGACTCCTTTCCCCTAGAGGCTCTGGGACACCCAACGATTCCCAGGGAGTACAGGGTCATCAGGAAAGCTCTTCCGGGATCCTAGAGCTCCTCTGGACAGAGAGGGGCCACCGCGGTGGGCAGGGGCTCCTGGGGGAAGAGGAAGCTGCCAGCCCATGTGCGCTGGCCCTGAAGGGCGCTGGCTGTGTGCTGCGTGTGCTCTGTACACTTTCTCATTCAGCCTCGCCCCCTTCCACCTCCCCGTGTGGTCAAGAGACATGAGCTCAGCACCACATTGCTCATGTGATAAGCGTTCAGTAAATGACAGCATAGGGACGTTTTAGTGACATCTGGTAAGTGGCTGATCAGAAGGTGTGGATAAAGGAATTGCCCTAGAACAAGCGATTATGTTCTAATTTTCAGCCCGTGATATTTGCGCTGTTAGATATAATGAGAGACAGTATAGCATAGTGTTCCTGACTTAAGACCTTCACACTAAAGTGCCAGGTTCAAATCTAGATGGTAGCGCTTATTAGTCATGTAACCTTGGACCTGTTCCCTAGTCTCCTGGTTCCTCAGTTTCCTTGTCTATAAAATTAGGATAATAATAGTACTTAGCACACAAGGTTGTTAATTCATGGGAAGCACCTAAGATTGTTAATTCACGGGAAACATTTAGAATGGTACCTGGTATATTGTGAGTCCTATATAAGTTTCTCCTATTGTTGTCATTATTCCCATCACTATTATTATTGATGTGATGGTGAGCAAAGAAGGGTTTTCTAGAAAGCGCCCAAGGTCCTGGGCAGTGGCCAGAGGCCCAGTGTGTGTCTCACCTGGGCTTTCCCTCCCTGCCACTGCTGCCGTCTGTTCCCAGCCTTTCCCATCCCCAGGGGTCCCGGAAAGGACAAGGAGCTAGAAATGGTGTTGCTGTCCATTTTGCTGCCTGACAACTGGTCTTGGGAAGAGATTTGGCCTTCAGATTATCTGCGGGTTTTAGCCCCGTACCTGGGAGCCCCCCATTTCTGCAGCCTGCCTTGAGGCAGCAAAGGGTCCTGTGCCTCATCTCAGTGCCACTTCAAGGCAGGTGCCAGAAACCCTTTCCTAAGCGTGAGCTGTCCTGGGTTTGTTTCCATTATTGGCGCTTCCTGACTTAGACAGTGGCAGGTGCTGGGCTCACGTCTGCTGTGGCTCTGGCTTACAGGAGAAAATGTGTGTGTGTGTGTGTGTGTGTGTGTCTTTTTACAGGCAAATTCTTCTGCAAGGCGCATTTCATTCACGGTAAAACCCATAGTCAGCAACGAAAGAGACGGGCAGAGTTGAAGCAACAAAGAGAGGTATGTTTGCCTTGAAAGGGCCGGCGGACCCACGACGGCCCCTAAACAGAAGGTTCCCAAGGGTCCCTCCACAGTGGGTCGACATTTCTGACCCTAGAAGGACTGAGACCCACAGGTGGCGAAGAGAACTCTACTCCCTGGTGTCAGGGGTCCCTTTGCCTCAGTCTGTTTAGCTGGCCTCCAGGGTCTGTCCCACCAGGTGCCAGCTCCCAGGTGAGTGGCTGTGCTGGCCTCTCCTGAGGAGCTCAGAAGAGCTTTCTCCTATGCCAGGGACGTAAAAGTTACTGGTTGTCTTCCCATGGTCCTCTGTGTCCTGTCTTCTCCCTGCCCCTCCCCACCACATGAAACTGGGCGCTGTTTGTAGGGATGCCTAGTATGGGGCCATACTTTGCTGAGATTTCCAAGTCCTTTCCCCAAGCCCTTAGGTGTCAGCAAGGTGGTGAGTCAACAGGGCCTATGGATGGCTAGTTATAGCGCCCCCTCTGACAGCTCTTAGTAAATACCTTCTATGGCTTAATTAATCACAACTGCCAGCAAAGACCCCCAATGTATAGCTTTTTTCTGATTATATATTAATATAGGCTCAATGTAGAAAAGTGGATAAATAAATTAAAGAATATAATGAATGAAAGTTAAATCACTCATTGTCACTCTATCCTGGGAAAACCATAATTTTGTAACAAACATTTCCTTCCAGACTCCTTCCTATGTAAATGTATTTTATCCTAGTCAGAATCCTATCGCTATAGTTTTATCTTTCTTTTTTTTTTTCTAACACTGTATCAAGAACAGTTTCCTTATACGCACAACCCATGGACGTGAACAATGGTGGGGGGATCGCCTGAGGGAGTGAGGGTGCTGGGTGGAAGGGGGCGACTGTAATAGCATGATCGATAAAATATAATTTAAGAAAAAACACCCAGTTTCCTATAACATTAAAAATTCCTTTGTAATGCCCTGGTTGGTATGGCTCAATTGGTTGGGTGTAGTCCTGCAAACCAAAAGGTCACCAGTTCGATTCCTGATCAGGGCACATGCCTGGGTTGTGGGCTTTGTTCCCAGTTGGGCACTTGCAGGAGGCAACCAGTCGATGTTTCTTTCTCACATCGATTCTCCCTCCTTTCTACACTCTCAAAATAAAAATAAATTTTAAAAATTCCTTTGGAGCATAATTTTTGGCACCTATAAAAAATAGTCAACTATTTCATGAGTCTCATATTGCTGAACATTCATGTTGTTTACTCTTTTTACCTTATAAATATTGTTACAGTGAACATCTTTGTACATGCATATTTATCCATATTTGAGATTATTCACTTGGGATTGATCATTAGAAATGTGATTGGAATCAAAGGACATGTGCTTTGAAGGACAGTGAGCCCCGTGATTAATGTGCCCCCAGGAAAGTCACGCCCATGTTCAGCCCCCCTTTAGCTGTGCCTGGGCACTGAGATTATCTGCGGGGCTGGGTCTTCCAAGTTCTGTCTTTATTGGCTCTCTTCGTCTGCTCTATCGGAGGGGCCCGCTGTGAGAATCATGGACTCTCTTTGATCTTTCTCAGGAGGAGATGTGGAAGGAGCAAGAAGCCCCTCGGCGAGACCCCGCTACGGAAAGCTCTTGTGCAGCCGCTGCTCTTGGCCCGCCGGCAGGCAGCCCCCCAGGTATCACCACTTCCTCCTTTAGGAAGGCGCTAAGCTGGCCTCTCAGGCTGTCGTGGGGCCTGCTTCAAATTCCCCGGAGCCTGCTTAACTGGATTCAGGGACTCCTGCGCTCCGTCGGCCTGCATTTCAGGGACAATGCTTACAACTACTGCTACACGTACGAGCTCCTGAGCCTCGGGCTGCCCCTCCTGTGGGTGTTCTCAGAGGTCCTGGCTTCCATGTACCGGGAGTCTGAGGAGTCCCTCGAGAGCATCCGTGACTGGGTGCTCAGGTACTTCCCGGTCAAGCGCCACTGAGGGGCGCCCCCCGCCCCCCGTAATGGCCTTCACATTTCCAGGGCAGGTGGTCTTGTGTTTGTTGTGAGCTGAGGTGCTGGTCAGGAAGCCGGGCGTCCTTTAACTGGTTAGCTCACAGCCAAAGAGTTGGCCACCTGCACCGGCCTTGTCAGGGTGAACCGTGCTGGGGCCAGCACGGCATGAAGGATGTTTTTTACAGATTTGTATTTCTTTTATACCAAAGTGAACTGTATTTCTAGGTTTACATTTCAATTTTTAACTTTTAATAAGCCAAGAAAAAGCATTTTTTTTACTGTGCATATCAATTTTTCTAAACATAAGTCTGAAGTCTTTAACTGGTATTACAAATCCCTTCCACGCGCCAGTCAGTTGTAAGAGTCCCTGCTGCCACGTTCGTGATTTGGGTTTTAGATAAACAAAAGTGAGTGTGCCGTCTCCTGACTGGTGCCTTTCTATTTTTGTGCCCAGAGGCCACTCGTCAAGAGGGGGCAATTTTTTTGCAACGTGGAAGCATAATCATTTTAAAAGAAAAAAGTAGAAGAACAAAGTAGAATTAAACATACAAGGCACCTGGCCATGTGTAGTTGGCTGTTACATGTCCTCCCAGCGGGAGGAAAACTGTTTTGCTCCTTTATTTTGATGTAAATTAGTAGTTTAAAGCCTCCCCCGCCCGCCCATACCCAATCATAGCCAAATGACCCAGAACCACGGGGTTTCAAGCAGATCGCTACCAACAGGCACTAGTGAGCACGGCAGCAGAAGCCCGTGGCTCCTGACCACGCAGAGCTCCGTCACGCTGACGCGGTACCTGCCGAAGGAGAGCTATGTCCCCTGGGGTTCCTTATCAGGTCCCCAGCCCAGGCTTCAGTCTGAGCCAAGGCCGCGCAGGGTCTGTAATGGTCAGGCTGAGGGAAGAATCTGCCCTCTCATAACACGTCCTTTGGGACTGAGGGCATTTGTAGCACCTCAGGGTATTGTTTCTGGGAAGCACGGCCTCCCCAGTGAACACGGCTTCCAGACATGCTGGCTTCTTAGCCACTCAGCCACTGTGCATATTTGGTCAGAACAGTCAGAAATCATTTATTTTCACACTGTTCTAGCAAAGGAATGTGTCTGACCTCCAGGGGGAAGGTCCCCTCTCTCTCAATTGGCAGGGGAGGCTGGGAGTGGAAGCTGTTTATTGACTAATGCCAAGAAATATGTCCTATTAGGGGCAGAAACAAGCATTGGCCTACCTGCATTCTCCCCTCGGGGCATCGGGAGGAGGTCTAAGCTCCCCCGACTCTTCTGCCTGGACATGCACAGCTGCTGGGTCTGGTTGAACGATGGAGAGGCTGAGGGGGAAAGGCCTTCCACTGTGCTCAGCGTAACTGGAGTTGCTGGGCCACGGACAGCTCCATGCACTTGTCACCCTAGAGAGTTCCTTGAGATCAAGTAAGGATGGAGCCTGGAGCATGTTTGGAACCAGAGCTCCTGAGGGCTTTGAGGTGACAAGTTTCTATGGGGTGAGAAGAAGGGGGAAGGCATTTTTACACTTCCCGAAACCCTTGGGTAAAACAGGGCATGGCTGTGGCCAAGTCTGTGGGAACTGGCACCTCTGTCCTTGCGGGAACGGTTCTCAGTCCCGTGACTTGCATGGTGTTGTTCCAAATCTTTGCTGAGATTTTAATGTTCAGCACGGTGGGAGGAGCCCTTGATTCATTTTATGTTTGATTCCAGAAAGTAAATTCTCCAGGTCACAATGTGAACACAAGCACAGCTGTGTCATTGTTGCTGTCATCAGCTCAGGGCAGGCTGAGATGCCCTGTGGAACGCTCCATGAAGCCCCAGTTAGAATCTCTGAGAATGTCATTTATGACCTTAAAGAGACTGGTTTGAATTACTCTGGTGAGACAGGGTGTGCTTGTCTGAAGCCTAAGATGTTTGTAATGTTCTGAGACTTTGAACCTTCCTGGTGGGCAGCACCAAACACACAGGGCATGGAGACCTCTAAGCCTCCGCAATGTACTCAAGAGTGAATATGAGACACTAGAGCAAAATCGGGACCATCGAGGGACTGGTGGGGCCATTGGGAGACGGGGGTCCTAAGGGCATGTGGGACTCTGAGTGGAGAGCTGTGGATTGTTGCAAATGCAAACCACACACGTCCACTCTTGCAGCTAAGGAGCGGTTCGCTGCCAGAAAGGTTCATCTGTCCTAAGCAAGCAGTGACTTGTTTGGGGAAGATTCCCCTTGTTTATCGGTTGCCTTATTTTAAACTCCTGTGTCTTCTCTTGTTATTGGTCTTTTTCCTTTCCTCCCCGCCAAACTAAGTCCTCTTTTCTGTCTCTCTCCTTCCAACCTTACACTGTGGTCGTCAGTTCATTTCAGCCTTCCAGTGCTACACCCACTTCTTGGCTGACACACTTCTGCTCTGAGGTGACTGGTTTTCTTGCTGATTTTCAGAGAGTGGGACTAACTCGTAAGCTGCTTTCCGCACCCCGCCCTCCCCGCCGTGGTACTGGTTGTGCTAACTGCGAGTGTCTTGCGTACTAACGGACTCATTTGGTGACATGGTGGGTGAACAGCGTGGGGTGGTGTCCAGCTGAAAAGGTGTTCAATTCCACTTACCCCTGAGCCGTCAGCCCGGCCCGTGCCAGGTGCATGCCTCGCCTGCCCCCCGTTCCCCTGTGGCCTGTGCTCATGCTTGTCCAGTTGCCCTTACAAAGCCACTTGCCTTCCTGGGAGGGTTACCCCTGAGTGTGAGGCAGTAGCACAGTGGGGACTCCTTCACCTTTGAAAAGAACTCCTTTGTCTAGGAGCTTCTGAAAAAGCACATACATACAAGCATCTTCTTAAATTGGTTCTACTATAAAGATTATTAATGTCATTGATCAAAACCAAAAGTATCTGTTTTTGGAGGGATTAAAAAAATACTCCTAGGCTTCATCACCAGCTTGATCCATACTCTGAACTTTGAACACATCATCACACTTTCCCTAGAAGATCCTTTCCCTGCTGCAGCCTATGCTATAGATCCAATGCTTTTGCTGTGGCTCTTTGTATTCTTCCTGGCTCACAGAGTCTCAGATGAGGCAGAAACTTCAATGAGAACGATCATGTCAGAGTTCAGGGATGGCTTTGAGAAATGACTCAGCTCAGCCCCAAGCCCGCAGCAGCCGCTTGCAACGGCCCCATGGCTCTGTGCAAAGCACACTTTCCCTGTTGACTCATTACCTGAAGCAGCAGGACATTCAAAGGGCTTTGAAAGAGAAACACCACACCATGCACAGTGGAGCTATTGTAGGCCAGGCCTCGCGGTCTCAGGCTGCAGGTGGTGTCTGCCCTGCATGTGGCCCAGAGCCTCGCTGACTCCAGGCCTGTCTGCACTGCCCCGCATGCTGCACTACTCACTGCCTTGGTGCAGAGCCTCGCCAGTACAAAGTCATTGCTCTTGTCTTATCTTCTCTTGCAGAGTCTCCCTCCCTTTATAGAATGTCAACCAAAGAGTGTCCTCTTCCCCTCTCAGCCTTCTCTTTAGCTAGCCTGCCCCATCTCATCGCAATGCATGTTTGTGACCGTTAGCAGTCATTTACAGTGCCACATGGAACCCTGTATTTTGCACACAGCAACCAATGTTTAGCTTTATTTATGGTATTTGATGCTGTAAATGAAAATAAATATGGTTCTTTATAAAGCTCATTGTTTCCTCTCTTCTTTGCCATGAAAGCTGCTCAAACCTGAAACACGGGGGTTAGTTTAGGGGGTCAGTCTTCCCTGAACTGCTGGCGGGACTCGCACTGGTGGTGACATGGGACTCTCTGGGGCTGCGCTGGGCACTCTGCAAGTGAATATTACCCAGGGGTAATATTTGGAAAATGCCACCAATGCTCCTGGGCCAGGCTTTGGGGTCTCTTTCTTGAAAACTCATGGCACTTTTCTGTTTTGGATGCTGGACACAGCTGGTGAGGGCCAGTATCACCTCAGCTCTTAGAAACAGACTCTTAACAGCTCACTCCCATTTTTCCCATACATCCAAGCAGGGACCTGTTGGAGGACCTTCCTTAGGAGCTGTGTGCTAATTTAGGTTCCTGTATAACAAAGGCTGTTCTTGAAAATGTGACGCTGGCCCAGCTGAGTGGTGGGTGAAAGGGCAGGAGGCAGGGCCGCAGGCTGGCTTCAGGCTGGCAGGGAACGTAGCAGATGTGCTCATCCAGATGAAGAGCCATTTGTGATCCTGAGAGGCCTGTCCTGTCCCCGAAAGGCTCAATGACTCAGCATCTTAGACTGCAAGGCTCTGCTCATGGGGCTTCTCTGAGGACCGCGCCATGGCCGGCTCTGGCCCTACTCTAGGCTGTCCTTAAAGGAAGGATTTGGAGTCCCACTTGCCTTCAGAGTCTGGTCCTCACCCTCCCTGGGGCGGCGGATGCCTGCCATCGCCAGGCTGAATATAGCTGGGTTTCTGACACTGGTGTGAAAACTCATCTGTGAATTTCCAAGGGCCCTTGTGCCTCCCAAGGGGCATTTCTGGGTCCCTGGGTCTGAGCCCGGCTGCAGGCACCCGAAGCAGCCTTCAGAGCTGCTTGGAGTCGTGACCAAGGTGTGCTACTCATCCCATTCCACGAAAGAGTGTTAGGGACTGAAGTCAGGACTGGGCTGGGCAAGAAACTCCATCCTTGATTCATGTAGCTGGTCGAGTATTTGCTGAATGCCTGCCATGCTAGG